TTATTGAATTCTATTCTAAAATAATTAAATTTGATTATTAAATCTTATTTTTTACACAAATTCAACAATACTAATAACAAGTATCGTTGTGACGTGTAAAAAATAAGATTTAACAGTATAATTTATACAATTATTAAATAAAATTAAAGCCAAACATGTGAAATATTATTTATTATAAAGTTTTTATTTATAAGTCAAATATTTAAACATCGTTTATTATAATAAAACAAGACCAACGTAATACGCCCCAAAGTTTTGTAAATGAGTAAATATAAATAGGTACTTAAATGATGGCAAAAATAAAAGACTTACATTATATTTTTAGGGCCACAAACAAAAGGAATTGTCTAATTAAAACACATATAACAAATTGTAGTATAGTTTGAAAAACATTTTGATAATCATTTATTTGATAATATTCATAGACTAATGTCACGTACTAGAGATAGATTGGACACTGATATAAAACAAATGGGTCCGTCATTTAGAGCCACCTGGTGATCCGGAAGAAACTAATGGAGAGTTTTGGCATAACATAATTTTAGCGTTCCGTTACTTCTTGACGTTAATTAAAACGGTAACGTTATTCAAGCGCAAAATTATTCCTTGTAAAATATAAAATAATAAATATAGACTTTTTTACTGCCATTTTATGTTTTATTAGATCATTGAAGTGTAACATTAATTATATGACATTAATTATATGACAAAGTATAACATTAATAACAAAATTAAAATTATGAATACATACATTTTAAACACCAACTATAGATCACATAGCGCCTATTTTTTTTTGATTTAGCAACTAAATTATAATATAGTAAAATATTATAGACTACTAATTAACTGTTACTAAAAATACTATGTATTACCATCTATGTACTTACTTATTTATGATTAAACTCTTTTTTTTATTTGGTTCATAAATTTATCATTTCTAAAATGTCAAAATGACTTTAATAAAAAAAAGTTTAGCAGCTAACATGAAAATGATGATCGACTGTAAATATAAGAATGCACAAACTAATAAAATCACAAATCACTGAAATCACTGAACTTTCCGACAAATCAGGAATATTTGAATTAATAATTATTTAAATAATGATTTAAAAATAACTTGACGGATCACCAACATTTTGTCAACTAGACAAATCTAGACCACAGACAGTAGTTAACATGTCATCTTCATATATAAATCAGAAATCTGTACTTTAATGTCTTTTGCGCCGTCTGGCGATGCGGAAGAAACTAAATTTGTAGTTCTATAAAATTACCATTGAGTGTCTAGGGCATGATAATATTATGATTGGCGCTATGACAACGACAATATTTTTTGAGAATTTGACAATAGTATGACAATGGCCGTTGGAAACTATGGAAACTACAAAAAAAAATTGATTTAACGCCATCTGGCAGTAATTAGTAGCAACTTCTTAACCTAAAAATTAATTGCACTACCACCTAGCGCCTGAGACAGGAACTATTTTATTTGAAATTTCCGTGGAAACGGTGGAACCGCTTTTGCTATTTCACTTTCCCGCCCCTGGTATTTCTTTCTAAATTAAAAATGAAAGTTTTTATCTGTCAATTATACGAGGGAAAAGAAAGTGTTGATATTTTGGTGACACCCTGTGGAATATATTATTATTAATTATATTTGAAACACCCTGTGGAATATGTTAAGACAGCAAGGAATTTAAAAGTCATTTCATCGTCTAGGTACATCCTTTCTCGATAATCTGTTTTTTGGTTCATCTCAATAGCTTTATTTTTGTTGACGCTAACATTTTTTCGTAATTTTTACATTAACATTAAAACCATGCCTTTGCTTTTGGACCTAGTCAACAGACCTACTAAGTTGTGGTCCCAAAGCAGGCCTTTTTTATATAAGATTTGCTTCGTTTAATCTTCTTCTTACAGTTCCTTAGGTGCAATTCATTATAAATTTGAAAAGCTGACAAGCGGCGCACAGTGGGACGGCTATATGAGGACAAAGAGACATGGTGATATTTTAGAAAATTTATTTGCATTCATGACAAAAAAAAACAGATTTTTATGCGTATGGTAAATTTATCTAAAAAAACTTTTTTTATTATAACTCTGATGTTGTTATAGATGTCTCTATGAAATTTGATGCACGTCTTCTACGCATAAAAATTATTGAATTTTTGAATTCCGCTACATATTCCAGTAGTTCTTCTTCGATTTATATAGCATTGTTGTGATTCTTCCGGGGGAGTACACGAGATTTTAGTTTTGTCGATGTTTAGCTTAACGCTCAAACGAGGCTTTGAGCCAGGTATATGTGCCCAGGTATATGTGTTTAACATTTCTTGTAATTTCTGTATTGTAGAATTGTTTAGAAAAAAATGAAGATTTTGAAAATAATGTTTAACCTGTAAATAAAATATTTTATCAATATTGCTGTGCTACTGAGGAAACGGAAAAAACGGAAGACCTCCTACTTAGGACACATAGTTCGAAATGAAAAATACAACATTCTGCAGCTCATACTTGAAGGAAAAACAGAAGGCAAGAGGGGAATAGGTAGAAAACAGCTGTCATGGGCGGGAAACATCAGACAGTGGACCGGTCTGAAGACTATAGGAGAGCTCCCAAGTAGCATTTTCACGACTTGCGACCACATGTTTACTGAACACAACGTTGGATTAGTTACAAAAAATAGTTAGCTCCCTACCTTAGGTATTAAAATAAATTTAAACGTTTTTATAACGTTGTGCCGACGTTGGACTAGTACTACAGCAAAGTAGAAGCTTCTGCGACGTCGAATAAACGTTGTCTTGTAACCATTTTTGCGTAAGTGATCTTTAGGTGATTCGGACAACGTAGTTACAACGTTGGACAATATAGAGTTTTCCGACGTCAGTCTCAGGACCTATTCCAAGGTTATGCAAACGTCGTCTGTTTTACTAATTCCAACGTTGTTTAGATTTCCTTATTCTTACGTTGGTAGGACGTCGAGTCACTACCTTTTTGCAACTGTTTTTGTTTTTATAAAAAAAACTTAATTAAAATGGAACATAAGAAAGGTACATATAAAACTAAATTTAAATATACATCGACATATATTACCGATAGTTTATCCACTCCCTCGTTTATTTAGATTATAGAGGGCGGCACAAGCTAGACTCTAGGATGACTAAATTAGGCAATCTTGCGACTAGTATACTACCTGTTAAGGCCGAACTGCGACTTTATTAGTCCAGTATGTGACTACTCGAACTACTCCATCTTAATCTCCAAAACAACAAAGTGAAAGCCGCCATGTTGTTAAATAAGAAAATGTTTCGTTCCTAAAATAGCAATTCCTGCTTTTTGAATACATTAACTTGAAATATTTGACCCTAAAAAACACGCGGAAACAATTTTTTCGACTGCGAATAAATTATTCTCATTTTACTAAAAAAAATTCAAGAAAATTTTTAAAACTTCTTTAATTTTAAGGCCCATTAGTATTTTTCAAAGTAGAAACAATACATTTATCAATAAAGTTGTTTGCGTTTAACTTTTTTGCCTTGGATAACGAGTTACAGAGTCGGTTAAAGTGTTTCAATAATTATGATCTTCAAACATCCTCCACACTTAAATACTTTTGTTTTGTTTTCCTTCACTGCCATCTGACATATGTCTCTAACTAAATCATAAAAATAATATTTTTACTATAATTATCCCAATTTAGGATAAAACGCGACTTAGACGCCATATTAGTTTTGTATTTCTATGAATTAGGATTTTAAACAACGTTGCAGTTTGTACTAAATTAGGCTTCTAGCCAACGTCGGTATCCAACGTCGTTTCGACCCAAAAATTATTCTCCAAACTAGTGCAGACTAGGGTTGGCACGAGGTTGTGCCGACGTTGCGCCCCGACGTTTGGTCGCGTGACACAACGTTGTCCCGACGTCCAAATGTTGCTTGGGTAACTGCGAAATCGATTGCTCTCGGTCATTCCAGATCGTTTGGTAAATCAGGCGTTAGCAATTTTTAAAACTGTATGCACCAAACCTAAATTACATACATTAAAATTCATATTTTAAAATATTTCACGCTTTAATATTGAGTAATTTTATTCTAGTACATGTACCAAATAATTCCATCCCATTCCTAACTTACTATCTGAACTCATTCTGAATTCATGTAAATTTTAGACGTTTAGCGTGAATTCACAATGGGTTTAATCTAATTTTAAACTGAAAAAGACGTGCCTGTTCCAACTTTCTTTTACAAATTCGACAAATTCGCACGGAAAGCATTTTATCATGTTCCACCTACACCGATTCCGGAAGTTAGCCGGGAAAATTATGTTACTTCCGCTCGAGAACTTGCGGAAAACTAATCATATAACTATACTGCAGTAACTTCCCTGATTGATAGTCTAGCGAATTTTTCCTCTTTTTTTTCTTAATTTTCTTCCTTTCGTCCTTTTTTAGAGCTAATTTGTATTTAATTATATTAATACTACACTCACCAGAACGAAAAACGGGCACTTTAAAATTTTCATCCGTTTTAAAGTTTTGTATTTTTATTGTGTTCTAGTGGACCGATTTTGATGATTTTTTAAACATTTTGTAGCTAAATTATTTGACTTTTTAGTATCTCTTTCTTAATTAAAAATGAAGTTGTCATCTGGAAATTATACGAGGGAAAACAAAATGTTGATATTTTAGTCAAAGTTTGAAACTCCCTGTGGAGTACGTTATCACGAAAAGATACACTTAGATTATGATCAAATAATTTTTAAATTCCTTGCTTTGTTAACATATTCCACAGGGTGTCTCAAACTTTCACCACAATATCAACATTTTGTTTCACCTCGTATAATTGACAGATGGAAACTTTAATTTAGAAAGTCATTTAGAAAAGTCAAATAATTTAGCTAGAAATTGCTTAAAAATCATCAAAATCGGCAATCTACATTTACCGATACTCTCTGAATTTGTTGACAATTTGTTATTAATTTTATGTGTTTTTTCTTTCTAGACCTAGACACTAACAGCGATAGGAATTCCTTAAATTTGGACGAAGCCAGTTTAAAAGACTCGTATTTAGACACTAGCGTTAAGACGAACAAGACGAATTCTCCACGTTTGGGAGTACTACCACCGCCACCTGTCAACAATCAACCCAGTTCCAGGAAAAATTTACCATTGGTAAGTTTAGTTTTAATATTGGTTTATTGTTAGTACTTGACCAATCAGCTTTTATATCAATACTTCTAAAATCGATAGGGTAAAGTCGGGTGAGATGGCCACTGTTTTGAATAGAAGGCTCTTGTTATTTTTTTTGTGAAGATTGTTCTTTATAACTTATCTGTTTAACATAGCTTAATTATTATCATCCGAACTTATTGGAAACTGATTACAATCCAAATACTTATAATTTATTTATTATTATTGTTGATATAAAAATAAGCTGCATGTGGCCATCTGTCCCCGCACAACGGAGTTAGTTGTCCAATGTAATAGGGGAGAGTTCGCCATGTAATATAAATCAAAGTAAAATGGCAAAACTTGGAAAAGATAAATTTTTTATGAAAACGAAATAAAAAAAATTCTTAATACTTATTTTGATTCTTTTTAAAAGCATTTTTACCACAATTTTGACAAGTCTTTAGAAAGAAAGAGCAATTTTATACACTGCAACCAATCTTTCTTTTTCGGGTGTTGTAGCTTTCTCCACAACCTACACGTTTGGTTCATCCACTTCAGAAAAGGTATCTATCACTATCTTCCTCGTTTTGGACTTCCATATCCTCCTCATCATCAAGTAAACAATATATGGCTATCACTCCCTGCTATTTCGTGGTCATCTCTCCCAAAATGCTAGGAAGAGATGGCAAACGGGAAAAACAGAACTAACCGCATATTTTTAACTGTTTCTGATGGTTAAGATTATCTAGTAAACATTGTATTCACCTAATAAGTTGAAAAATATGGTAAATTCACTAACAATACGTTCACAGTCGAAGGTAAGTCAAATCCATTGTATAATTTTATAAAGAAGATAAAATGTTTTTATTTTTCGGGTGTTTTTATATCACGATTATACAGGGTGAGTTTCCTACGATGTTCTCTATGGGTATCTCGGAAACTACTGGGGATAGAGAGTCGGTTAAATGGGGAAAGAATTGCAGTTTTGTGGGGTCATAAATATGCGCCTTTCAGATTTTTGAAAAAGTTCATGGCTTACTAGATATTTCGAAAAAAACAAATTTCGGCTATTTTAAAAATTGTACCTAACTCCATTATAAGCTGTTTTAGACAAAAAGTTTTCAGATAAAAGTTGTAGATAATCACATCCCGAGGGGTGAACACTTAGGGGATTTATGGTGTACACATGAGAGGATTTCCAGGGGATGTACCGAGGATGTAGTGGATGTACCGAGGATGTAGTGGATGTACCGAGGATGTACTAGAGGATGTAGGGGATGTACCGAGGATGTAGGGGATGTACCGAGGATGTACTAGAGGATGTAGGGGCGATATTTTCAAGGATAAAAAAGGTGCCCATGAACCTAAAGAAAAAGGCTTACCACAGCTGCATTCTACCTGTGCTTACGTATGGTTTAGAGACTATGGCAATTACTCGAAAACAGCAGAACAACTACGAGTAGCACAAAGAGCCATGGAAAGAATCATGTTGGGAGTCACCATTAGGGAAAAAATACGGAATACCCACATACGTCAAAAAACAAAATTAATAGATGTCGTTAAAAGAGTGGCAAGTCTAAAGTGGCAATGGATAGGACATGTGGCAAGACAGGATCCAGATCGATGGCCCCAAAAATAATCCTATGGAGACCTAGGGGAACAACAAGAAGTGTGGGCCGACCAAAAAAGAGATGGGTCGATGACGTCAGGGCAGTGGCGGGAAGACAATGGATAAGATTGGCTAGAGATCGCGAAGCATGGAAAAACCTAGAAGAGGCCTATATCCAACACTGGATGGAACCAGGCTGAGAAAGAAGAAAGAAGAAGGATGTGACAGCTTCACATTTCCGAGAGCAAAGACGATTAAACTTGTTTCCGTGGCTAACCAAGTGAAGTTGTTTAAAAATTATAAGAATTGGCTATAATTTTTCGAAGAAAACATAATTTAGCTTATATCGCTGAAAAGCTTAAAAAATGGCGCTTTTTATGAAGTCATGGCCAACTATGGTTTCTATTTAAAAAAAACCTATGTTTGTGTCATATGTCAAAAATGACAGGCTTTAGAAGAAAACGGAGGGCACAATCTTATTAAGGATGTGATTATCTATAACTTTTATCTGAAAACTTTTTGTCTAAAACAGCTTATAATGGAGTTAGGGACAATTTTTAAAATAGCCGAAATTTGTTTTTTTCGGAATATCTAGTAAGCCATGAACTTTTTCAAAAATCTGAAAGGCGCATATTTGTGACCCCACAAAACTCAGAATTAGCAATTCTTTCCCTATTTAACCGACTCTCTATCTCCAGTAGTTTCCGAGATACCCATAGAGAACATCGTAGGAAACTCACCCTGTATAAGCTATAATACACTGACTGTGCTTATACAATAATGTTCTTTGTAGTTGATGTCAAGCAGCTTCATCGGAAAACGCGTTTTTTGAGTTTTAGCCGATGGTCATCTCTACCGGTTGGCCATCTCACCCTACTATACTCTATTCACAGAACTTCAATACGCCGATGACTGCGCTCTAGTTGCAAACACGTTGAACACATATAGGTACCTGGGCATACGAGGGTTTGGGCCTTAAGCTAAACATCGACAAAACCAAAATCAGGTGCACTCCCCCGGAAGATCACAACAACGCTATAAAAATCGGAGAAGAACTATTGGAATATGTGGCGGAATTCAATTACCTCGGCAATTATTCAGCATAGAATTAGCAACGCCTCAAGAGCATTCTGGAAATTAAAAGACAGGAGAAACAAGTTAAACAAGTTGCAACAGAGACAAAGATGGGCTGGTCACGTATGCAGAATCCAAGAAAACCGCATACCAAAATCTCTGCTTAACGGTGAGCTTATAGACGATAAGGGTAGGCCGGATGGACAACTCAAAAGGTACAAAGATATTTTCCACGAAAACTTAAAGGGGATTAACTGCAGAATGAGTGTGAAGAAGCAGCTCACAATAGAACCCAATGGAGAAGAATCGTAAACTCAGTTAACAGCGACAACCAAAAAATAAAGAGGCAACGAAGCAATGAGATTTTTGAATGTCCGGAGTGCGGAAGAGAGATAACATCACGTATCGGGCTTTTCAATCACAGAAAAGCTCATGAAAGAAAACGCCTTGCGTATACATGCGTGTCAAATACTCGTCAGCAAGTAATGGCAGTATGTATGTATGTCAAAGCTCTGAGACTGAATGATAGGCTATAACTAAGAAAGAGGGACACAATAATTTATCTATAAGGTCGGAGAGAGTCAGTCAGTAGCTTCAAACGACGTGTATCGATATTTCGAAATATCGATATACTGGCACATCTCTATTTTGCCCGATTCTTGCCAGAATTCCAATTAAACCCTTTATCGACAGTTCGAATAGAACCAATCAACCAATTACCGCCGCCTGTTTATTTTCCAATTATATATGATTCATTTCGTATAGCTTTATTTCTTTAATTTGGCCCCACGCCAACAAAACATTACACGCTTGAGTTTTTCCGAATTTTTCACGATTTTTCCCATTTTCCAGCAGGCGGAAACGTACGCGGCGCCTCACAGCGACGGCTTGGGCAATAACTCGAACACGGGCAGTACCGGTACGACTATGCCACCTCCCGGAAGTGCTCCCTGTCTTCACACCACGAACTTCAGTTGCTCAGAGAGCAACTGGATCAGCAGAAACAGCAGACTCAGGCGGCCATGGCTCAGTTGCAGCTGGCTAGGGAGCAGCTACAAGCTGAACAGGTCAGTATGTCGTCTACCACTAAAACAAAAGTATAGTTCATACCAAATAAACTTTTAGTTACGTCATTAAGCTTGACCGGCACAGCGTTGCCGACTTTTATATATTTTCTTTAAATCAAAATATTTTAGGTAACAAAAATAAATTAATTATAAGTATATAAACAGTTATTATTTATATCCACAAAACTCACCACCTTAACAACAATTAAGGGACATAAACGGCCATTACTATCGCTTTCGTGTTCAAAATATTCTAATAAAGTTGCAATGAGTTTTTACGGCTATGTTGTACACAAACATATCTAAATGAGTAGACAGAACACTCCATTCATAAAACTCAATTTTTTAGAATCATACATGGTTTGACACTTTTATGAGAGTTAAAAAGAGATGGGTACATATTTGTATTGACTAAGAGTGCGGCCGCGAGGGCCTATTGTGGCTCAGTTTCTACAAGCTCTAATATACAAAGAGCGTTAAAGTTCACTTTCAAGATCCAGCCTTTTAACATAGGCCGTTATGTCCGAGGATGATATGTCTCCTAGGTCTGATAAGTGTAGCATGGGTTTGCCAAACATCTCAAATCTGGTTCTGCCCCCAGCGGGGCAGGTACACATAACGTGCTTCATTGTTTCATCATCTTCCATACGAGTCGGCATTCGGCGTCTTCCACCAGTCCCATCCTCTGTAGGTGAGATCTCAGCCGGCAGTGGCCCGTGTACACTACAGTGAGTGTACGCGCTCCATTCCTACCGGCCTTTAGGAGTTCTCCTGTTCTATGTTTGGATGGTCCTGCTAGGATTTTCTTGGCATGTTCCATTCCGGGACTGTCATTTCAGTCCCGGAACGTCCCACCCCTAACCCATTCATAGAGCCTGTTTCTTGCGAGATTTTTTGGAACGCTAAGTGTTGGTTCTGGGCCCACGAATGGCGAGCCTGCACCAATTTTGGCGAGGGAATCAGCACGTTCATTTCCCTCTAGGCCGACAGGTCCCGGTATCCATATATATTGAGTAGTTTCTTAAAATGAAGAATCGTCATAGACGTGCTTTTCGTTGCCTCAAGTGTTTTCAGCGCGGCTTGACTATCCGAAAATATGCCTATTGTTTTCCCGATGTTTTGTTGTTCTACCAGCAGTTGCACACAGGTTTCAATAGCATATAGCTCAGCTTGGAAAATTGTGGTGTGTTTTCCAAGGCTGTGGTAGATCTCAGTCTTTGGACTGCTGCAGTAAATTCCTGGGCCAGATCCTTTTTCGTTTTTGGATCCGCATTTCCGCATGTAATAAACCGTTTCCCGGCTTATCCCATTCGTCCCTATTCGGAAACAGGACGTTGTAGGTGCGCGTCAAGAGTTGGACTGGTGGTGCGAGATCCGAAACCATTCCCAGAATCTCATCCGACTGTAGTTCGTCTACTCCGGTTTTGTATGAACATGATTGTTCCTTGGCTTCCTCGTGCTATATTTAGAAACCTATATGTTGCCCATCTTACCTCTCTTTCCAAAATAATTTGAAGAGGAGGTAGGTCGAGTAGGGTTTCCATAGCTTTTGACGGCGTGGAATGGAAGGCACCAGTCACCGCTAAGCATGCTTGTCGTTGTAGTTTCGACAATTTATTATGGGTACATAAATATGACAACACGGTTGAGTTTCGTCTATGTTTCTGTCATTTGACTCTATCAGTGGTGTGACGGTGACGTGATGTTTTTTTTCAATTATCCATTATAACTGGTTTTGCCTGAGGTCTAACTGAGGGTAACTCTAATTTCACAATCGAAAGCGCCAACAAATAAGAAAATATACGTATTTTTGTAATAATCTACTTATAACTAAAAGTATCTAGATACGCTACTGTAAGCATGGCTAAAGGTAAAAAAACGTAATGACACCATCGAAATATCAATTCCGGGTCAGAATAGTCCACCTTTTTACAAACTATGCACTGGCGAACCATCGTAGACTACTTTAAATAGTTTTCTTTGCAATAAACACTAATAATTATTAGAAAGTTGTTCAAAAGCTACAAAAACTTTCAACTACCGCAGAAAACTCACAACCGCACACTGTCAAATATAAGTTGAATGAAAACAAATCAATCAATGTCAGCGTAATGCCTACATATTTCGACAATTTCGTAGTAAAGATGAATCCGCAGCGATGTCGTTATAGTTGTCATTATAATTTCCCTAATATAATTTAATTAGAAAACTAAAAATAATTTCAAAGGTTTAATCCTGGCATAATTTATGTATATTAATTAAAGTTATATATATATATATATACAAATATTTAGTTTAACGTTTCTTTAGGTACCCAAAAAACATTAATAACAGTAATAACATTTGGAACTCGAACCGTATTGTATCACATACCGCGTAAATCTGTCATCATCGATTTTTGCGGAACACGGTTCGTGATCGCGATAAAATTTAAATTGTTTTGTCTCCCTTTATTTAGATGTTTTTGGTTATACACTTTGCACTAAAAGAGGTTCTAAAAAGAACAACGTTCGACTGCAAGGTCTGCTATTAAACATTTTCAAGCTTAAACTAGCACAACACTATTTATTTAACCAACCCAAGCCAAACATTCGTAACACAAAACTAAAGTGTCAAAACGAATGTCAGTGTTAGGAAATAAACAAATAAATGCGGCAACTTGGCATTTTTCACAGCAGAGCTACCACCTGAATCCCCAGCACGAAATTTAAATTCCAGTGAGTCAGCCCGGCTCCGAATATGTGCATGGTTGGCAACAATGAATTTAAAAATCGCGTCATCGATTAAGTAACTAAAAGTTTAATTGATATGAAATATAGTATTACATTAGCATTAAATAGTTTAATTGTTTCTTTTTTCTTAAACCTTTAGATTATATCCATATATAATTTTTCCTTTTCTTGTGCATGAGGTTTTTTTTAATAAATTAAAAGATGGAAACTTTTTTTATGGGACGTTTCGCTCCAGCATAGTGGGCTTGTTCAGGCACTTTATTCTAAAAACTTGAAGTTGCCTTGCTAGCACCCGGTTGTCAGTGTGTCATAGAGCCTGTCATAGAGTCTGTCATAGAGTCTGTCATACAGTCTGTCATACAGTCTGTCATACAGTCTGCCATATAGTATGTCATACAGTCTGTCATACAGTCTGTCATACAGTCTGCATATAGTCTGTCATACAGTCTGTCATACAGTCTGTCATACAGTCTGTCATACAGTCTGTCATACAGTCTTTCATACAGTCTGCCATACAGTCTGTCATACAGTCTGTCATATAGTAGTATTTACAAAGAGTGCCGCCGGGGAAAGAACGTTCCTGGAGAGAGGACAGAGGTGTAGGTTAGGTTTTAGTGAGGTAAAAATCCCACATAACTCGTCAGGCATATATTAGGTTTTCCCAGGCGAGTACCTGTTGCAGGTTTCCCCCTTCACCTCTTAAATCTAAAAAAACAGTCTGTCATATAGTCTGTCAAATAGTCTGTCATAGAGTCTGTCATACAGTCTGTCATAGAGTCTGTCATACAGTCTGTCATACAGTCTGTCATACAGTCTGTCATACAGCCTGGTGCTAGCAAGGCGACTTGAAGATTTTAGAATAAAGTGCCTGAAAAAGCCCACTATGTTGGAGCGAAACGTGTGGCATAAAAACAAAGTCACCAGTCTGTAAGACAGACTGTATGACAGGCTGGTGCTAGCAAGGCGACTTCAAGTTTTTAGAATAAAGTGCCTGAAAAGCCTACTATGTTGGAGCCATGGCTGGGAAACTTAAATGGAAATGACAGTTCATTAAAAATAGTTTTTCCTCCAAGATGCAGAGGCGCAAAATATTAAAACTGTCAATATTAATAATGCAAATGTCAATATCTGACAATAATAAAATTTGATTTTTAACTGTCACTCAGAAGCTTTTGTTGTGATTTTACGGTTTGATTTCGTTTTGATTTGTCGAATTATTGTAAAATTAAATTCCTTCAGATTTTTTGCCAGTATTCTGTTTTAGACAATGTTTTTTAAAAATGGTGGGACAATTTGTGTTTTGTAATAACTTTTAATTATTTTTTATCATGGAGTTTAATTGTTGTACACCTGGTTTCCGAAGGATACAATGGTAAGTAAATTAAACATATCTACTTACAGTTATAGATTTTTTAAATTAGTACTGCTAATAAATGCTACTTGCAGAGCAGTTATTTAAATTTTTTTACGGTGCATGTAAGGAATTAAGGACGCGCGTTTTATATTAGCATGATCAGCAGATGATTACATCTGATTTAATTTGTTTTTATTATTTCAGGTCCCAAACGGAAACAAACTGGGAATCTTGCCTACACCAAAATTATATACCTAGCCGTTTCCAATTCACTTCAAAGGGAGGAAAATTATGTAAAACTGCCTGCTATTTGCTGAAAACCGCCAAAGATTAAATTATAACTGTAACAACTTAATATATACTATTTCTAGTATTTTTAATATATTTTTTAATTAATATCCGACATATAAGAACACTTTGTATGCTTTTAATTCAGTTGATTTATCGTTTATAATATGATCGACCTAATTAAAAGCACACAAAGTGTTCTTATCTATAATCTAAATTTATTTTAAATTAACTAAAACAACCCCCTTCCCCGCACTCCTCTCTTCCATTAGTATTTCTTCCTCCATCTACCAGAGGCGCCCTTGTATAATAAAATTGAAATGTATTATAAGTTGCCTATCTATTTAATAGTATAAGTCTTTTATCTATGGTTGGAGCGAAACGTCGCATAAAAAAAGTTTCCATCTTTCAATTCTATTAAAAAACCTCATACCTACCCCAGAAAAGGAAAAAAAAATATGGATATTAGCATTAAAGACATTCATAAATTAAAATATAAATTGATTTACAGACTGCTAGAATGGAGGCTCAAGCTAGAACTCACCAACTTTTGGTGCACAACCGTGAACTTTTGGACCACATAGCCGCCCTCGTAGCTCACCTACAGGGTGGCGAAAAAACAGGCCAACAGTCCAGCCAACCACAAATGACAATGCCTCAAGTAAGCATCTTTTTAACTAATACATAAACAAAATAAATACATAACCTTATTGTTGTTGTTCGTTGCTTATCGATCTCAAAGAAATAAGTAAACCTAAATGAACCAACCTCAGAAAAATCATACAAATAGACAAACAAATTTGTATTACGGACAGTAGCTTGCAGTTTTATTGTTATATTTTGTCTCATTTGATATTATATACCATTCTGTTTATTTTTTCTTCGAATATACTCCTCTTTGTTTACTTATTTCTGAGATTCGCTAATAATTACTTCTTTTATGTGCAAATAAATACAGTGTTGCCGTGTTTAACGCGCCGCCGCGCTTCCAACGTTGCCGGGCGTCTAAAACAGTGTGCGCTTGCTCATTGGCGCTTTGTTAACAGTGATGATGTGTGTTGGTGTTGCATTTTTGTTCTTCGAAAATATACTCTAGGTAAATAATTTACATGATTTCTAATTAAAAAAGTAGTTAGTTAGTTCTTGAATGAGTGAAAAATATATTGTATATTCTGTCAACAATTTAATGTTAATTTTTATTTCTCTTTTGAAAGAAACTATTAATGTTTTGTTGGTAAAATTAATGAATCTGTATATTTCGTAAAATAGTCCTCCTAGTATATTCTACATTTTTTGTCTCTTGTAAAAAAAACGTCACATCGCATGATTTTTGAGAAAAGAATTTTAGGAATTTTTTTCCTAGGCCGGCCTACGAAATATACAGGGAGTTTCAATATTCCGTGGACATACCGGGTGTTGCATCGTCGGACGGGACATAGGAAATCCCATGTAAATTTTAAGGGGGTCAATTATTGGCTTCCCTAATTATTTTAGAGAATAATTCTATTTAGGTTTATTGAAGAGCACTAAAACCCACATTCAAAAGAATAACTTTAGATCTTTTTGATTATCATCTCGTTTACGAGTTATCGCCGATTTCTTTTTAAATATTTCTCCTTTCTTATGGCCCGGTATTTACTTATGAGCACCAGTCAAGGTAAAAGATAACTGTCAAATGAAGTTGTCATTTCAGAAATTTACCTATTTAGTGCTTTATTATTATTGAAAACTCATTCCTACATCGGAAATCTTAAAGATGTATTTATAAATATAAATTAATATGAATTAAAGTAAAATAAAGTAATCAATTAATTACAAGGTTAATTATAGTATTAGTACAATATTCAATAACTTATTAATTTAGGTACTATTGAATTGTTAGAACTTTAGGATTTAAGATGTTCGAATATTCCTCCATCGACTGCTAGACAATAACCCAGACGATCATAAAATTCTCTTCTTACATTCGCTAGTTGGTAAACTGAAATTCTATTGCATTCGGCAGAAATAGCATTTTTTAACTCGTCTAGATTTGGGTATTTTTTATCCTTGTATGTCCTGTTTTTTAAATGGCCCCAGAGAAAGAAATCCTTTGGCGAAATATCAGGAGACCTTGCTGGCCAATTTACTGTATGATTTAGGCCAATAACGTTTCCGCTAAAACTATTGTCTAAATATTCCCGAACAGCCATGGTACTATGTGCCGGGCAGCCATCCATTTGGTACCAAACTTCCTGATTTTTCCTAGCGGCTTCATGTAAAGCAGGTAAAATATGATTTTCAAGTAGTTCCAAATAATATTCTGCATTTAAATTTCGCGTAAGAAATAATGGCCCGATAATATTGTGTCCGAATATCCCTGCTCAAACATTTACTTTAAGAAATTGGCGATAACTCGTAAACGGGCTAATCAAAAATATCTAAAGTTATTCTTTTGAATGTGGGTTTTAGGTGCTCTTCAATAAACCTAAATCGAATTATTCTCTAAAATAATTAGGGAAGCCAATAATTGACCCTATTAAAATTTACATGGGATTTCCTATGTCCCGCTCGACGATGCAATACCCGGTAGAACAATTACGTATTTTTTTTAATCAAAATAAGTTAATTGAAGTTCTATATCCACGGAATATTGGGACACTCTGTATATGGAGCAGTTCAACATGATTCTTTTTTACATTAATTTTACCAAAAAACACTCTTTAGCTTGTTGCTTGAATTTTGTTTAGTTTTGAACAATGTTTCAGTATATTGTTTCTCTAATCTTCTACTACTAAAATAAAAAAAATATCTGTTCTTTCGTGTCTTTCGAACCTTAAAACAGATAACAGAAATAATATACTGACTAAAATCTTGTTAATACACTATTTTTCAATAAACAATTAATGCCTTTTTGTATAAACTTCCCAGCTTCAACATCTGAACGATCTCCATTCACAAGAAACATCCCAGATGGACGTCAACTTGATGCTTCAGGCTCTGGGCTTAAACCCAAGCATTCTGGAGAACAGAACAGCAACTTCCTGCCAGTCACCTTTAAGAACAACTTTTAACCCTGGAGGATCATCTGGGGCGGGGAATATTTTCAATTTTCCATATCCTCAAGCTCCTGTACCTTTAGATACGTCCTACGAGAACCAGATTCTTCAAAGGCTGCAAGCTTATGGTGCATTCCCTCCGATATCGCCTCCGTACCACCTGAATCTACCACAAACTATGCCGTTGATGTCTCAAGGGTATTATGGACCCCAGGGTTTGATGAGCAATAACTTTTCTCCTAGTTCTTACGCGACTCTACCAAGATACGCTCCGAATATTGAAAGGATCAGTCCGTCTAGAAACAGTGAACCGCGTCAGATTCCACAGAACTACTCTGGACTCGATTTGAACCAGAATTTGAACCAGACTCAGCAAGGTTTCGAAAAAAAGTCAAACTATTCTGGATTGACTGTTCCACAAATCCAACGAAGACATTCTTCGATTAATTTAGCCCAAGAAGGAAACCAAAACCTTCAATCTATGCCTAGTACTTCACAGTACCAATTTAACTCAAACCCTATAGATCAAAATACAAAAACCAGTCAGAACTTTCAATCTATTCCCAGTTCCTCGCAATATCAGTTTAACTCAAGCCCAATGGATCAAAATAACAAAACGTCAGATAATTCCCAATCAAAAGATGACTATCTCATCAAACCCTTATCGCAACTAGGTACTTTAACCACGACAGATTCAGAAGGAAGGGTTAGAGTGATTGTGCCGGTACCGTCGAACACCAGTGAGGAAGAGAGGGATTTGCTAACTAATTTAAGGATTAGTGAGGATTTGAGATTGATCAATGGGCCAGGGATCTCGAGGTCAGCTAGTGAGCGAGTGCCCAACAGGAGTGAACTGATGTCTCAAGTTCAAAGGACCATGTGGGCCAGGCATACTACCAAGTGACAGTGTGATTAGATAGAGTGGACTGAAAAATGCTTGAAACGGATGGGAAAACTTGTATATAATTACTACAAACTTTATCTAGTTTTACAAAAATTAGTTCTTATTGAGTAGTAATATTGATAAGATTAAATCTCTTTGAATGTAAAAACGGTTTAAAGATAAATATTTTTATATAAAGCACAGTGGTCTAAAATTATAACTATTGATAACCTTAAAATATATACAGGGTGGTACTTGTGCCTGTTTATTTAAATTCGTTTTTTATTACTACCAATCCTCTGTATTTTAATGTCATATATACAATTGCCCTTTGTGTATACCGGGTGCGACTCAAAAGTGGCCTACCGCTATAACTTTTTTATTTTTCCAGATAAAAAACGAGATTTGGTATGTTAGTATATCACATAAATTAGGATTGATTGACGTATTCAACTATTTTGGTCCCTTCCTGTTTCACCGGAAATGACTATCTACAACTTTTGATTTTTAAATAGAACCCTCGGTATATTTCTACTTTATTCGATAGAAAATGACACTCTGAATAGAATGACATATCATATGTCAACTTGTGACATTTTCGCATATGGTTTATTTGAAATTGTAACATGCGGTTCATAACGAGAATTTGACTCGAAATACCAAGTATGTAGTACCAAATTATTCATAACAAACTTCTTTTTCCAAATATGCTAATGAGCCACCCTCGTTCCATTTGAAAATATTGAGATATGATTAAAAATACGATTTGGGCATCTTTTAACAGGCCAAGACAATACACGTAAAACACTGAACTATCTAATCTATTTTTCCAAGGCTCCTTGATTAAAAATTACTGTTTTTAACACAGCTAGATTGAAATTTAAAATACGATTTTTTCAAGCGAAAATGTCAAAAGTTATGATATGTCATTCTATTCAGAGTGTCATTCTCTATCGAATAACGTAAAAAAATTCCGAGAGTACCATTTAAAAAATCAAAAATTGTAGGCATTTCCGGTGAAACAGGAAGTAAACAATTGAATACGTCAATCAATCCAAATTTATGTCATATACTCGTACCAAATCTTATTTTCTTTATCAGAAAAAATATAAAACTCATAGTGTTGAGCCACTTTTGAGAAACACCGGGTATATATTTATTGATAAACAAAATTGTAGTTTACCTCTAAAATTATGTTTCCAATTTGTGTACCTATATTTAGTATTTTTTGTTAATTTTATTGTTATATTTAGTTAAATTATATTCAATATTAGTACAGTATTTTTGTTTATTGTAAAGTTTTATCTCAAGTTTTTATGTTGTATTAAATTTAAAATAAAATCAGAAAACAGAACTGAGTGTAATTAATATATGTAAATTAGCCTGTAATTTTTCTAGAATAGATTTTATTTCATAAAAGTGGGTTGTATTTTATTACCAAATTACAAAAAAGGACACCCTGTACAAGGTGGGTCAAATTCGACCCCTTTCAAAGGGAAACACCCTTCTCTGTAGAAGATAGACGAAAATTAATATTGGTCTCTGGAGCTCAATTTTTATCAAAAACATGATGATGAAAACAGCACATCGATATCTGTTACCGTTAATGAGTTACAGGGTGTTTTTCAAAATTGTGCATTTTTAACAAATTGTTGTAATTTTTTTGCTATGGAAAATTTTGTATTTTTGTGAAAATATTTTTAAAGAACCTTTTTACGTAGAATTTAATGGTTTAAGTATATTTTTTCTAAAATTAATAATTTAAGATTTATCAACAAAAAAATTGATTTTTTATTTGGGACACCCTCTATATTTTTAATCAAGCGAAAAAAACTTAAAATAACCTTTCTAAAAATATCATACACTTGATATTTTGTTACAATCCCCTTCGAAATACAGAATTTTTAAAGGTTCGTTGCTTTCAACTAGTATAGGCTTTGGATCCCTTATTGATGATATATATGCCCCTAATGAAACTCGAAAATATATTTTTCCAGCAAAAGAATGCACAATGCCTCAGAATGCTGATTATCAGCAAGCTTTTTGCAGCCAATTTTGAGAATAATTGAATAGCTAACCAAGATCCCAGCCGTTGGCCGCCGAGGCCGCCGGACTTAGTGCCTGTTATCCTTAGTGGACTTTTATCTTTGCGGAAGAATAAAGGTTCTTATTTTTAAATTGCCCGTATAATCTAGACACAAATTAGACGTACTTAGCGGTTATGAGAGATTATCTTTGACCCCCACTGAATTAATAAATTCCGCAAGAAATGTTCAAAAACGGCCCCGTCTGTCCATATCCATAACAGAAGATGGTCGATATGTTGAACACCTGTAGCAAAATCTCATGTCTTGGTTTGCCATTAATTTTTATTGTTATTGTTATTAGATTTAGTTTTAATGTGTTGATGTCGTTAAATATAGTTTAAATTGTTATAAAATTCTGCATCTCCCATTGCAAATATTATTTTTGTTTTAATTGCTGCTCACAGCTAGAATTTTTTTGCATTACAGCCGGCGCTGTAAGTGGGCGAATTTTAATAAACTCTATATCTCGAAGAGGAATCGAGCAAAATATCAAGTTTGCTATATTTTTGTAAAGGTAATTTAAAATTCTTTTTAATGAGTTAAAAATATATAGTGTGTCTCATATAAATTAAATAGTGTTTTCAGAGTGATGAAAGGATTTAATTAAATTGAAAAAAAATCAGATTCGTATTTAAAAAAAATAAGTTGATGATGGTCGCCAGAAGCCGAAACGTCAGAGTCGATATTTAATCACACAGAGTTACAGAGCAGAAAAAGTGGCCATGAAAATGTGTTTTTTATTTTATGTTATCTTAACAAATAAAGCCAGGAAACAATAGAAAATAAAATTAAAAATTCCGGTTTTTTTTTGAATATATTCGGAAGTATTCGGATTTTTTCAAAATGCAATACGGCATTTCATTGAGCATCAAATTGCGCAACTTTACCTCCATTTAACCGATCCTAATGTATCTCTTACGGTTTCCGAAATCCCAATGATGAGCGTCGAATTCGAGCCACCCTGTACACAGAAATTCTTCTTTACTACTGAAAGATTATATATTTCTAAACACTTTTCCGTATTCCAGTTATCCTCAGCTGCCAAAGTGGAACGTTGGTTCGAGCTTCTGGAACCCCTATCCATATCCAGACCCGAGAGTGGATTCGTATCCTGCCAGGACAACGATCCATGCGACTACGACGACGAAAAATTCTGGAAGGTACCAGGAACCTGCTGTCCAAACTCAGCGCTAGAAAACAAAGGAAACTGCTAGGGCTCAAGTTGGGCAAGGTCACGACCTTCTGACGAATAGGCAACACCCTGGGCAGGCTGTTCGGCAGACTTCGTCGTCGCAAATGACAGAAACTGGTGACATTTTATAATTGAATTCGCGTCAATTATAATTATGTCAATTGTTTTTCTATTGGTTGTACATAGGTTATAGAGAAATCGTTGTAGATAAATATGTATTTTCTGCCATATCAGTACTTAAGTATATAATGTTTAAAAATTGGTGTACAATGTGTCCATATCTATACAGGGTGTCCTAGAAATAAGTGCAAGTTCTTTAAGGGGTAGTAGATTTCGACAAAAGAAACATATTTACTCTTTATCGTTTTTTAAATAAGTCTAAAATAACAGAGTTATTTTACTTTGAAATTTCCACACCTGTAATTTTTAACTAATTAAAACGTGTTTTTTTGACAAATCATCATGGCAACGGATAAATTTTAGTGAAAATTTTTTCCTTGTGGGCACCCAACAGCGAATTATGCTGGAAATTTTTTGACGTTTATAATGACAGAATATCTTTTTGAGAGTCTGGTTTTATTTGTTTGTGATAATTTTGATACATTTCAATTACAAAGCTGAGATAAAAGCTTGTAAACTGCTTCCATACGCTTGACTTCGATTTCCTAGTATTCGCGGGTGTCAACTGCTTAATCTCTGGCGAATATTTTCTTTGCTTTCATAACCAAGCGAAACATTTTTTTAAAATACGTGCAGCTTGACAGCTTCAAAACTGAAATAGTTTTTAGGGGTTTTTGGGTGTCACTTAGTTGTCATTTGTCAAATAATGAATTCTACCAAAAATCGAAAAAATACATTTTAATTATTGATTTTCAAAAATAGACGTTGGGGAATTTTTCTTACCGAATACGACACGAGGTCAAATTAAATCGGACATTTTCTCGCTCATGAATAATTTGACTCTAATTGGTATTACTAGTGAAAATTTCCAAAAAAAAATATTTTTTGCTAAAATTTTGAGAACCACTGAATATTTTCTGGATTTTCTTTCTTGTAAATTTAATCTACTACCTATGTTGTTATATTATCAAGAAATTATGTTCTGTAACTAAAAAATAAAAAAAAACCTTTTTCAATTTTTTTTTCGCGAAAAAATCTTCATAGGCGTGTTTCTGGGGTTGAACTATACTACCAGTTAAAATACTTGCACTTATTTCTGGGACACCCTGTATTACTTTACATCTGTTTAGTTTAATAATAATAATTTTAAATCCTTACTTTTTGATGTATACTGTATGACATAGAAATTGTAATACCCAGTAAATGTAAATAATATATTTTATTAATAGCACTGGATCTGGCTGCAGGATTATTACGCTCATTGTATTTTTAATCAAAACCTAATTTGTACATGCAAAGGTACTTCAAAAAACGTGTGCTATCTCTTGTGGGAGATTCTTCACGTAAAAATAAGATTTATTATATTCGCGTCCAGTCGAATGTATTATCTTGATTTTTCATACGTAGTAACGTCCCTGCGTGCACAATTTTTAAAGCTAAGCTAAATTCCCCTCCGTTGCTAGTCACAGGCGGCGGCGGCAAAGCCCCTGGCACTGACTGTCGTTAGTCTGCATATCAATGCCCACAATCTCCATACCAATGTATGGATAAAAATCTAATCTATATGATGACTTTGATTTAATTCATCGACGTAATTCGCATTTGGAAATAAATTATTGAGACTCTTAATTTCTTACTACTACCAAAGTCTAACCAAATGTTGTCTAATATTGTGGCTTAAAAAAGTAAGGCATTTTTAAATATTAAGCAATGGGTTAGAAACCCCTTAAAAAATATATATCGGTTAAACCTCACTATAGTCGAGTGAGTTATCCACGCAGTTCTACATTGAGACAGGAATTTCTATCGACACGATGAGTTAACTAGTTTATAAAGTATAATTGAACAATTTTGGCAGAATCCTTTATGGAAGTGTCATCTTATGGGACTCTGCTTGGTATGCATATATGTATATCTTTAAATTGTCACAATTTGACAATCATGTATTGATTGCCGTTAAATTGGTTTCATTTGGTTGCATTCAATAAACATATTTACTTTCGCTATTTATGTCTCAGAAAAAAATGCTTTCTACACCGCATTCATTAATTTGCAACCATCAGTTCTTTAAACATCTACGTATGAAAAATCAAGATAATACATTCGGACTGGACGCGAATATAATTATACGTCAAACGAACTTACCTGGTAAGTTCGATCGTATGAGCGTCCAGTCAATGTAATATCCCACCCTTCCGTCTTGCCCCATGCCGGGGCCCGGCGCCGCCGCCTAGACTAGCAACGGGAGGGAATTTAACTTATAGCTTTAAAATTGTGCACGCAGGGACGTTACTACGTATGAAAAATCAAGATAATACGGTGGACTGGACGCCTCGCTAATAATTACGATCGAACTTCACTTCAGGTAAGTTCGTCTGATCGTATAATTTTTTATATCAACACAAGTCCGATTCTTCTTTGTTCGTAGCTACAGGGTAGTAAAATTTTACTAATCTTTCGATTTATTATAATTTCCTTCCAAGGACTTTTAGTGGATCAAATGAAATTTTGAGAATAAAGATAATTACAAAAAAACTAATTTTAAAGTTAACATCCTGCTCTAAAATTATGCATTTCCATACCCATGTTTATAAAGACTTTTTCAAATTTTTGATGAGGGATCAATAGTATTATTTAAAACTTTTTGCAAGTTAATGATATTAAATTTTTAAAAGTTGCTATTAGACGTGGATCAAGGCAAATTAATAAAATGCGTTGATCTTATCAAGGAAGCCGAAATCGACAATTTTGTTAATTTTGTACATGATTAAAATCTCTTGGTATTTACCAGACTGCTTTAATCGACGTTACTTCTTACTCTCTTTGCTAACAAGAAAAAGGACTCAGTGGCGTACATGCTTTTTTAGAAATATATTCCATTGAAAACCCATATGCACGTCCTTGGTGAATATGTCGAGACTTTTATCTTTAAAATATGTCAATTTATAGTAACTTTTTCCTCAAAATTTTACTCGAAACGCTAAAGTACTTATAGAAATTATAATAAATCGAAAACATATTAAGACTTAACACCCTGTAGCTACGAAACAAAGCAGAATCGGACCTATGTTGATATGAAAAATAAATCTTATTTTACGTGAGGAATCTGCCCACGAGATGGCACATGTTTTTGAAACACCTCGTATGTAATAAAAACGCGTATTTGCGACACCGTGAAAAATTTTGCTTGAAATACTTTAAATTCGAAAAATGTTGTTTTTTAGTTTTAAGCTAAGCATATACTGAGTGTTGCAATTTTATGTCACGCAGTATATTTATTTAAAATAGTTTTTTACAAGTACAAACCTTCCACAAGCAGAAAAAGGCTATTCTATTTTTTTAAATACTGTTGTTGTATTCTGTATTCTACCATATTGTGTTAATAATATGTCAGTGTTAAGAGATCTAATAACATTTTTAATTGTTGAAACTGTTGTTTATAGTGACATATAAAATTTAGATCTAGTTTAACAAGAGAAATATTATTAATTATATAAAAAATATAAAAAATTACATCAGTATTAGAAAATATATACATATGAACCAATATAATAAACACTCTCAAAATGTTATATGTATGATAAATAAATTATATCATTCAAAGTCAGTATTGATTGGATAAAATAATTAAGTTAAAGCCAATTATATAAGTTCGGAAAAATTAGATTAAGTTATTTTTTATAGAACAATTATACTAATATATTTATATTTATGTTGTTTTTTACGTTTTTAAGTTTATTTAATATTAGATGAATATAAGTGACTGACTGACTAAAAATGTCGAATAAGTGTCATAAAATGAATAAAATGAATTAAAAAAGATTTTTTTATTTTCTTTATATCTATATCTATTATACAGAATCGCTGATATGTATGGGAACAGTCGATTATTAGAATAAATCTATGAGGTACAGGAAAAGTTAAATAAAAAACTTTTAGGGTTTTTTATATGTCTATTAGCAAGCAATAAATTTAACTATGCAGGGTCGGTCCTTAAAGACGTAGCACATCAAAGTTTATTTTTTTTTAAACGGAACCTCCTGTATATTATTGCATATTTCAATTCTTTCTTCAATTCCTAAGCAAAATCAGAAATACACACAATGTACTTCAAACCAACCGTTTCCGAGTTATTGGCTTTTGAAAATATCACTTAAACAATTCGGTTTAATTAATTTCGATGTTCGATTTCATTTAACGATGCCATTCTGTAGATACTTTTTCCGCAAATGGCATAAATGTTTTCAAATTAGGATTTATAGATGTATAAAATGAGAATGGAAATTTCAAAATTTTTCATTTTAACATGTCAAATCAAAACTTAACCATAATTCGGAAATTGTTGAATTTAGGTACAATATTAGCATTATATCGCTTAAAATTGAAGGAAGAGGTGAAATGATACAATCTTCTACAAGGGGAATTACGTTAAAAACAAATAAGTACGATGTGCCACAACTATGACTGACCTATATAAATATAAATTACTACTCTCCTAATAGACATTTAGCTGGTCTTCATCATCTCAACTGTTCTTAGGGAACCATTGAAGAAAACACAGGACTTGGTCCTAAGGTACGAACAAGAAGAATAGACATTTAAAAACCGTATAACTTTGGTATTTAACTTTTTGCGGTACCTTGTATATTTAAAAAAATATCGATTATTTTCGTTATTTTCCTCAGAGTAATGTAATAATATAGCCCCGGGTTTCTGCGAACTTTAATAGTGATCAGCTGATTAAGAAATTTAAACGAAACTTTTATTTTATTGTAAATTGTGGATTATTTTTGCCTGTTATTTTAAAATTCTAAACCGTATTAACAAAGAAATTATTATTTCGATATGTTGGTACATTGACATAATTTATGATAATGCTAATTGCTGTTAATTAATATTTTAAAAAAGTTATATACCTATCTTAATTTGATTTAATGCAGGTTTATAAAAGAATCACTTCATTCTTAGATTATTTTTATTCTAAAGTGCTTTACCAATTTTACGATATTTTTTGAAAACATAAAACTTTTAGATTTTGATGACAATTGGCATGGTATTATTGGTGTGGGAATTAGCCAAGAAAGAAAAGAATTGGCTATAACTTGTAATTTTTCGAAAAAAACATATTATACCTATGAAAAGCAAGGGCGGGGTTCTTTATGAAGTCATATTAACTAGGTTTCCATTTTAAAAAAAACATGATGTTTGTGTCATATATGTCCAAAATGACAGGCTTTAGAAAAAAAAACAGAAAACACAAACTCATTAGGTATGTGATTATCTACAACTTTTATCTGAAAACATTTTGTCTAAAATACCGTATGATCGAATAAAAACGGCGTCAGCGATGGCTATGAAATGACGATCGATAATATTTTCCATATAATTTTACATATAAAATGACAACGATCTTCATTTCGCCATCGTTGACGCCGTTTTATTCGATCATACGGTAGATTATATTAAATTCGAGACAAGTTTTAAAATAGCCAAAATTTGTTTTTTTCGTAATATCAATGAAAGCCCTTGAACTTCACCGAAAATCCGAAAGGTGCATATTTAAGACCCACAAACTGCAGTTCTTTCCCCATTTAACAGACTCTCTGTCTCCAGTAGTTCCGATACCCATAGCGAACATCGTAGGAAACTCACCCTGTATAGTATTTAGAAACTAACTATTATTATTATTTGAGTAGATTTATTTTGATTAATAAGACTCGATTAATTTATTTTAAAATAAATTTGATCAGATTTTTTTTTCGTATATGCTACTGCCAGAAAACCAAAGTGTCAGCACTTTAGCAAGTTGAAAAGAAGATATAATTATATCTATCACATGTAATAAATTTTAATTAGAAAGAAAAACAAAAGAAAAATACCCAAATACCTTCACCACTCATCTACAAAATAAACGAATATAATCTCTTATATAAAAACACTACACAACTACTTCTTGTACTTTACACTGAAAAAATGATCAAACTTACTAATTAACCAACAAAAGAAAAAATAACTAAATTGTCTTCCAATTCATCTTACTACTTAACTAGAAAATAATAAACTATAAAAACACTACTAAACTAATTCTAGGTATTCTACACTAAACATTATAATTAAACTTAATAAAATTAATCTAATTTTACACTACAACCTAACAACTACAATGAAATAAGAACATTTTTTAAAACTAAGAAGAAACAGAACTTCGATACGTGCGACCAGTATAATAGATCAATGACAAAGAATATAAATACTTTAAAAATGTGCATTCAGAAAGAAAAAAATATCTCGAAAATTATCTAAACAAACAAGTTTTTTCTTATCGGTGGCATGGGCCTCGTCGGCCTTGCGGAATTTGTCGGGTATTTACGATGGTCGAATTGAATAATTACCAGCTTTTATAGCATATCTAATAGACAAAAAGTATCTGGTCGATTAGTAACCAATTGGCACAGTCCGAAAATTATCGATTTTTATTTTCTCTGTTTTTATTGGTCGCTTCAAAAACTGTCCCCACTAATTTATTGAAACAATCTAGCATCCCCATCACAATAACTCTATTAAAAGCTAATTGCTGACTTGAATACAATGACTGACAATTAAGGCCAACACCCACGCCCACTAAGGACGCCAGCCTATAATTATTATTGTTGAGTTCATTACGCTACTATTCCATTAGAGGAGATTAACTCAAACCTTTTTTCAATGGTAGATAGGGATGGAAAGATGAACAACATTTGGAGGTAACTGTTATAAAAAATGTTTGGCATTTCTTAAAGTTGTATATATTAAATATCAAGGAATTACTATAGAACTTTTTATAATAAACTCTATACGTATATACTATACAGGAGTAAGTACGATTTTAATTGAATGCACTCATTCACTAAATGCTAGTGTACGTCATCGGGATAGTAATCAATAATATGAAGTGCAATTTCCAAATCTATGTTTTCGATATTTTTGTCTCGAACCGCTCCGAAATTTTCAAAAGTTTTGGGTCGCGACCGTTGCAAGAATAGAGCCAAATAGTGTTTACATTGTCCTTATGGGCACTTTCCAATCTAAACTTGTTTCATTTATCAATGCTTATTAGACTGAAATCATACATTTGAAGTGTTTTGTGGTAAAAATTCAACAGAAACTGTTTTCGTCAATTTTTTTGGGGGAAAAAAAATTATGATTAATGTAAAAAAATAAAAGTTCACAAATTTATCATTTCATTCAAATAACTATCTACTCAACAAGTTTATTTAATGTCAATAATGACATGTATTGACTATTTCCATTCTAAATATCTTGAGAACGGTTGCTCGTAGCCATTTTTACTAAGAGACATGTTTTACGTGAAAAATCGAGGAAATGTGTATTTTTTCACTCAGTAGTTTTATACAGGTACGGACGAAAAGTTGTTACTTTTCAAAATAAGTAAAACAGATCTTACAAATAGGAGTCACATTGTCATCAAAATCCCCAAATTTCTCGTGTCAAAAAACTCCCAGACACCAATAATTTTCATCCAAATATTGACGTTAGGTACTTCAGAAATTAATTGGAAATAAATCGTATAATAAATTAAACTTCTACTTTTACTTATTTTTATCTGCAGAATTTGCTCCCCAAGTTTCCGGAATACAATTTGGACCACCCTATATATTTTTAATATATTACTTTTTCTGCTACTTTCAAATTCTCTATTTTCTACTACTACTTACTTTTCTTACTCCTAGCTGTTAGTAAGAAGTTGCACTCCAAATATGCGCACATAGTGCACACCCAAGCAGCATTTGGACGTCGGGACAACGTTGTGTCACGCGACCAAACGTCGGGGCGCAACGTCGGCACAACCTCGTGCCAACCCTAGTCTGCACTAGTTTGGAGAATAATTTTTGGGTCGAAACGACGTTGGATACCGACGTTGGCTAGAAGCCTAATTTAGTACAAACTGCAACGTGTTTTAAAATCCTAATTCACAGAAATACAAAACTAATATGGCGTCTAAGTCGCGTTTATCCTAAATTGGGATAATTAAAAATATTATTTTTATGATTTAGTTAGAGACATATGTCAGATGGCAGTGAAGGAAAACAAAACAAAGTATTTAAGTGTGGAGGATGTTTGAAAATCATAATTATTGAAACACTTTAACCGACTCTGTAACTCGTTACCCAAGGCAAAAAGTTAAACACCAAACAACTTTATTGATAAATGTATTGTTTCTACTTTGAAAAATACTAATGGGCCTTAAAATTAAATTTAAAAATTTTCTTGAATTTTTTAGTAAAATGAGAATAATTTATTCGCAGTCGAAAAAATTGTTTCCGCGCGTGTTTTAGGGGTCAAATATTTCAATGTATTCAAAAAACGAGATTGCTATTTTAGGAACGAAACATTTTCTTATTTAACAACATGGCGGCTTTCACTTTGTTGTTTTGGAGATTAAGATGGAGTAGTTCGAGTAGTCGCATACTGGATAATAAAGTCGCAGTTCGTAACAGGTAGTATACTAGTCTGGGTACCTAATTTAGTATCCTAGAGTCTAGCTTGTGCCGCCCTCTATAATATAAATAAACGAGGGAGTGGATAAACTATCGGTAATATATGTCGATGTATATTTAAATTTAGTTTTATATGTACCTTTCTTATGTCCCATTTTAATTAAGTTTTTTTTTATAAAACAAAAACAGCACTAGACTGTCTGACTGAACAGAACAATGAAGTGAAAATTTGGGATTTAAGGTTATGGTTCATGCAGTTGCAAAAGGTAGTGACTCGGCGTCCTACCAACGTAAGAATAAGGAAATCTAAACAACGTTGGAATTAGTAAAACAGACGACGTTTGCATAACGTTAGGTCCTGAAACTGACGTCGGAAAACTCTATATTGTCCAACGTTGTAACTACGTTGTCGAATCACCTAAGGTCATCAGCTTAAAAGGTTACAAGACAACGTTTATTCGACGTCGCAGAAGCTTCTACTTTGCTGTGAACTAGTCAACGTCGGCACAACATTATAAAAACGTTTAAATTTATTTTAATAGCCAAGGTAGGGAGCTAACTATTTTTTGTAACTAATCCAACGTTGTGTTTAGTAAACATGTGGTCGCAAGTCGTGAAAATGCTACTTGGGCACACAATTTTGTTAACAATTAAGTTATTCTTTATAGTAACTACTAGATTCTGACTGACTTCTACTACCACTGGCCAAAGCAATAATTAACCTCCTTTCACTGTCTTCTTCCAAGCTTTCTTCATTATCTCCAAAATTTGCGTCTGTCTCATTCTCAACGCTGCCTTGAACTTCAACCGTTTCTTCTTGGTATGCTTCACTGTCATCGTTACTTGCATCTGCCGCTTTAAACGGATAATTCAAAATAGTATCCACACTCGTATCATCCTTTATCTCAGTCTCTTCAGAGGTGGATTTATCAGGAGAAGCAATCTCTTCCTGTTTGAGATATTCAACGTCTTCTTCTAATACTTTCTCTTCGGCCAGATTGGAAATTAAATTCTTCTGTTCTTCGGCAATTTTCAGGTCTTCGCTAAAATGAATTATTACATCTTCATCTATGGCTAAAGATTTTTTTAGGGCGCACCTAATTTTGGGTGCTACCGAGAGAATTTTTCTTTCAATTTCCTTGTTTTCTTCAGGATCGTCTTCAGTTTCTCGCAACCTTTCTTCTTTAAATACAAATTTTCTCTTAATTAACGGTTTACGTTTGTTATTAGACTTAACAGAAGTGTCTTCTTTCTCTAAAATGTTTTCGTCACTGTGAGTCTTGCTTATGGTAATGACAGGAATGTTGTCAGACCAAACTGAGGACTCTGAGTCTCTCCGGTCTGTTTTCTGTTCACCGATATCTTCGACGATCTTTATTATCTTTGCGGATGTATGTTCTTCTATGGAGGTCTTGGAGGGGTTTACAGTTTTTTGTTTCAAAGATGGTTTATCGTTTTCTGTAGATTTGTTATTTTATCATCAAAAACTCCGGACTTTTTTGCTTGTAGTATTCTCTTCAAAAAATCGTTTTTTTCCGATGGTGGTTCTTTAGGAGATGACGATGAAGGAGTAGTAATTTTCGATTTTTTATTTTCCAAATCCTCTTGTTGGCTACTTCGTATGTTCTTCAATTCGACGTCATGGTGCTTCTTCTCTTCTATTAAAACAACAAAAAAATTGTTAAAACCTTGGTAACCCAATGTGAATTTTTGGCGGTGATTTTTAAGATATTTGCGTTTAAAGATTTCAATGCATCGATTTTAGCATTAGCGAAATCAGGAGATTAATTTGTTTAAAATTACTTTCGATTTTATCATTTCATTAATGCTAAAACCGATGCATAGTAATCTTTAAACGCAAATATCTTGCAAACCGTTCACCATTTTGAACTAAACAAAGAGCTAGCAAAAGTTCTAGCTTTTTATATGATTTATTGAAATTACAGTATCTTAAAAGAAGTACCATCAGTAGTATCATCTACCCTAATGGAAAGTTCCCTTTCAGGTGTGTTACGGAATTTTTCACAATCGCCATTAGCTTTGGCATTAAAATGTGCGTAAGAGTACAAAATTTCAATAAAAACTGTTTACCAATGTTCTTAAAAATAAACAAAATATATTGTTTTTATTTAACTTTTCGAGAGCTGTAACTTTTTCAGAAAGCATTTTAGGGCATATACTCATAGGAACTTTTTGTTTTATTTTTATCTGTATAATCACCTACCAAAGTTAGATAAACTATTTTTTTAACACCCTGTATAGCTGTGTGTTCTTTAGTACAAAATGCTTCTTTTCGGTTATTTACGTGTAAAATAAAAAGAACAATGTAGACGGGGTTACTGCTATAACTAAAGTACTGTTTAGAATTTTGATTTCATATTTTGGCTAATTTTTGTGTTGTTTGTATCGTACCAAAGTTACCCCGGTTTACGTTTGTTGTTTGTTGTTATGGTAACTATGTTGTTGTTTGCTATTACTATTAATAGTTGTTTACTATTAATACAAAAAACCGCTTGACAAAAGTAAAATTCTGAGCTAGTGTAATAAGAATTTGCAAAGGTCCAAACCTTTGAATAAGAAGACTAAGGAAGGAGCATATCAAAAATCTTAGGTACACCGCGATGGGCCTCAAATATGGCCGACTTAAATTCCGGTTTATCAGTGTCGTTCTAATTTTATTTAAAAAATGTAAAATTATGATGTAGGGTAGACATTGGGGTAGACTCAATCATTTGTTGTTTTATTTTGTTGTGAATAAATGTTGGTAGTTATTAAAATTGTTATAAAAATATATAATTCTAATAAAAATAGATAAGTTATAATAAGTATTTATTAACACAAACATCCGATACGCGCTACTGAAGCAGGTAAGTCAAATTAACATATCTAAATTCTTTGACATCTAATTTTTGACAAGTAATAAATTAAAGCTAAAATGCAAGAAAAATATAATTTAGTTAATTTAAAGTGAATTTCATAAATGATCGGTTTACTACACGTATGTATATTATATAGTCACTTACTAGCGAAAAGTTATTCCATTATTTCACTCAATTTTTTGCCGAGATCTACCGCACGCTACACAACCGACTATTTTAGAGTCTTTTCGATAAATCGATAGTGTGTTAATTTAAGTTCTGCCACAATTTCCATCTAGATTTACTGCTTTATACAACTATCAGTAGTAGAATAAATAATAAAATAACATAAAATAAGCTCGTAAGACGACAAATCCACAAAATTTCCAAATCAAATTCAAATGTGTCAAATGAATCGTCAAACAGAACTGTCAAGGATCCCCACCCTAGAGAGCTTTTATGGTGGCTTTTCCGCCCACCATGCATGAATACATGGATAGCATTATGCTCCTTCCTTAGTCTTCTTATTCAAAGGTCCAAACGAAATCACAGAAATTGCAAGAAGATAATATTTATGATGATGGTATTTCTGTAGCAATTTTTGCGCATTTTTTTAATTTTATCCCACTATAAATATCACTTTGAACGTTTCATATGAGTGGATAAAAATCCCATTATTAAATTATTGTGGATAAAATATACTGTGGATAAAATTATACTTCCTACCTTTATGGTCATTTTTTCGTAACCAGGCTTTACTAACAATATTTTTTAAGGTGTGCCGCTCAATGCCCGATTTCTGTTCTTTGGTAGATTCATCTTTGTTAGTGTCGTATGGCAAAGAATCGTGTTGGTCCACATCAGTACCATCTTGTTCTTCGTCAGATGTAGAAGATTTCCTCAGTGCTTTCTTGATCAGCTTTGTAAAGAAAACTAAAAATATTTGTGTATTAGGTTTAGCTTCATCATTTTTATTATAAATCAGAGAAGAAAAATATACAAGGTGTTTCAAAACAAATGCGAAAAACTTCAGGGGGTGATTCCTTGTTCAAAATAAAGGGTAGTTTGCTTCATAAACGTTGGGTCAAAAGTCAACCATTAGGGAGATATTGCGGTACAAAGATGGCGGAAAAATAATGTTTTATTTTTATCGAAAACGAAAAGAGAGATGAACTAGTAAAATTTTATGGAAGCATTACTGTTATGAAAACACGCTTTCTGGTAATTTTTCACTTTTTTAAAATGAGTGGATGGGGTTGAAATAAACTACCCCTATCATTCTTGTTAACGAATTTAAGAAATCTTATCAAACACATGCAAAAAAATTAATTTGGATAGTTTAGTTTTGTTTAGAAACTTTTATCTCTCGTATTTTTTTGATAAAATTCACCCGATTTGAAATTAAAAAATAAAATGTAAAAGCATTACATGTCAGGACAAAAACATTTTTCTGATAAAAAAAGTCTAGTGGGCTGCTGTAATTTTTTTTTAGGAAAAAATCTGTCGGCCGCTGTTACTTTAGGATGTTCTAATATTATTTTATTTGACATTACTCTACTGCAATACGTTATTCTCTAGATGATTATTATTATCGTTATTATCACTAGATCCTTAATCTAAAAATGTTTTTGTCCTGACATGTAATGCTTTACATTTTATTTTAATTTTAATTGGTGGGTTTATCAAAAAAAACACAAGAGGTAAAAGTTTCTAAACAAACTAAACTATCCAAATTAAAGCATTTGCATGTGTTTGATAAGATTTTTCTATAAATTTCGTTAACAAGAATGATAGGGGTAGTTTATTTCAACCCCATCCACTCATTTTAAAAAAGAAAAAAAATTACCTGAAAGTGTGTTTTCATAACAGTAATGATTCCATAAAATTTCATTAGTCTATCTCTTTTCGTTTTCAAGATAAAAAATAAAAACATTATTTTTCCGCCATCTTTGTACCGCGATATCTCCCTAATGGTTGACTTTTGACCCAACGTTTATGAAGCAAACTACCCTTTATTTTGAACAAGGAATCACCCCCTAAAGTTTTTCGCATCTGTTTTGAAACACCCTGTATATAATTATAATCCCTTATTAGATATAGTCGGGGAAATAATAGAAGAATACAGATATTTCGGATAACTAATACACAGGTTGGAATTTCTACTACCAGAAATCAACAGAAGAATTAAGTTGGCATGGATATGGAAGAAACTCAATCATATTCAAATCCAGAATGCCACTTTATCTAAAGAAGAAAACATTCGACCAATGTGGTACCAGTGATATGCATGCAAAACCTGGATACTTAAAACGGACATCATAAGGAAACTGCAGATCGTACAACGCTCAATGAAAGGAAATATGCTGGGAATAACCAAGAGAGACCGTAAATGAATAGAGTGGATACGACAAAAGACACAGGTAATAGATGTCATCCACAGAATCAAATACTTCAAGCGGCAATAGGCAGGACACTCGGCAAGAAGAACGGACAACATGGACCACAAAAATTAAGCATGTTACCCACCAGAAATTAAGAGACCTAGAAGAAGACCAAACTTGAGATGGGACCATGATATTAGGAAATTTCCTAATATCATGGTCCCATCTCAGGTCTGCTAGGTCTGCTAATTAGCAGGGATAACTTGGACCCGCATAGCCAACAATAGACAACAATGGCTACAAAGGGAGTATCTAAATATGTGAGGGAGGCTACACCGTAATTGGAAATAGTTGAATAATCTGAAAATGATTAAAAATAGTCAGAGATTAACAATAGAAACATTTTTTTCAGTTCTAGTGTGTTTCTTTTTTCTCTAGAGTACATATTCTCCAGTCGTATCTTTTTGACTCCGCTATATGGTCTTTACCTCTACTTTTGCTTTCAACTTTCTCAACCTCTTCTTCCTTTTGACTGACTACAATCTCGTCGGACTCTTGCCTAGGCGTTTCATCACAACTCCGAGTACTCGGCAAGTTGCCTATTAACTTCTTCCATTTGGAAAATGGAGTCTGGTCGTTCGATTCTCCAGATCCACAACGTCTCCTTCGATCCACCATTTCGAACATTTTTCGTCTTTCTTCAGTCCTCTCTCTTCTCAGTTGAATCTAAATTTAAAATTATTTACATAAAAAATGCCTAAAATGTCCAAAAAATCACCTTTAAGTCGTTATTTGCCTCTCTTAAAGCTCCAGTAAGAGATATTAAATAATATATAAACATTATCAAGAATACAAGCAAAGGAATCACAATTCCAGGCGAGGAAAAATAATCTAAGACACTAAAAACAATAATTATATTAATTTTGGAAATTAAAAGGGACTTAAAATAGTTATACTTGAATACTTGCTGCGGTACGTTATCTTTTATAGTTTTGGTAAAGATGTGGAATATAAAGTGGTAACCTGAAAACGGGCCACAATGCCATGAAGGTTCCACCTTGACAACAGCATAGCCCACAGCAAGAACGCTTAGGAACAGCATCAGCAGGAGCAGAGCATAGTAAAAATTATTTGACCTAAAATATAAGAAACAAAATTTGGTAATAATACTACAAAAATAGCAACTATAATGTCTTTCAAGGTCCTTAAAAAATATTATTAATTTGGGACTTACTTTGATGCCCTAAAAATTACTTCGTGTGGTACATTACAGGTGAGTACTGCCCAGGCTCTAAGGTACATCATAATATACAGTTTAACAACATTAAGTACCACTAATCCTGGAGAGAAAAACATTCCTAACCAAACCATACCCTGGTTGTTCACTAAAATAAAAAAAAACTATCTGTTGAAGTTTTAGAATAATTATTAGAATGCTTTAATATTAAAACAACTTTAATAAGTATAGAAGAGAAGTATTTTGGAGAAGTCTTTTAATAATGTAGTCCCTTAATAATATTATGCAGGGAAGAGAAAGAGAAAGAGGAAGAGGAAGAGGAAGAGGAAGAGGAAGAGGAAGAGGAAGAGGAAGAGGAAGAGGAAGAGGAAGAGGAAGAGGAAGAGGAAGAGGAAGAGGAAGAGGAAGAGGAAGAGGAAGAGGAAGAGGAAGAGGAAGAGGAAGAGGAAGAGGAAGAGGAAGAGGAAGAGGAAGAGGAAGAGGAAGAGGAAGAGGAAGAGGAAGAGGAAGAGGAAGAGGAAGAGGAAGAGGAAGAGGAAGAGGAAGAGGAAGAGGAAGAGGAAGAGGAAGAGGAAGAGGAAGAGGAAGAGGAAGAGGAAGAGGAAGAGGAAGAGGAAGAGGAAGAGGAAGAGGAAGAGGAAGAGGAAGAGGAAGAGGAAGAGGAGGAAGAGGAAGAGGAAGAGGAAGAGGAAGAGGAAGAGGAAGAGGAAGAGGAAGAGGAAGAGGAAGAGGAAGAGGAAGAGGAAGAGGAAGAGGAAGAGGAAGAGGAAGAGGAAGAGGAAGAGGAAGAGGAAGAGGAAGAGGAAGAGGAAGAGGAAGAGGAAGAGGAAGAGGAAGAGGAAGAGGAAAAAAACGATTAATCGAAATTCACCACACAAGTATAGACATTACTTAACATATATAGATCATACGAAATAAACTTTTAGTCACCTGATTAAGATTAATCAGCACAGCCTTGCCCAGTTTTACATATTTTTTTTTATAAAATTAAACTGCAACCAACCTAACCTAACTAAAAGTTTAATTATCGCTTATATACTAGTTTAATACCTAGATGAAGAATATTTTCAGCAACCTTAAAATCACCATACTGAGGAAACTTTTTCTCGAGATCCCAACACCAACATCTATTCATAACTCTGACAAATATACCCCTAAAAATACCTTTATCGATTATTTTCAACAATTTCAATATTCCAAATCTATAACGCTTACCTAAAAAAATCCATCGCCAACGTTGACAGTACCGTCATTATCAAATCCATGACAGTCAATTTAATAAGTTCCTGACCGAACATCGTTTCCCAGCACAGGCTACGCAACCTTGCTCTAGTTGTATAGTTTAAAGTCTCTTTTTCTTCTATCATATCAACTAAAGTAACTGAAACCGCAGTACTGGTTTCGGTACTATTAAAAATCGCGTTTTTAGACTCCATCAACTTATTGCAATAATTTATACAGTACTCTGATTCTTCCAAGTTAATGTTGTATTCTTCAGCTGAGGTAGTACTGACAGATTCTGTAGTATAGAATGTAGCAAGCGTCGTACTGACTTCTTGGAACACTGTAGTAAGATCGGTCTCAAATCGTTCCTCTTCTTCGGGCCAGGTGTTGTTAAACACAGGCAAAACAGTTGATTTGAAATATTCATAATTTTCAGTTGAATTCTGATTAAATGAAGTTTCATTACTAATGTTTAAAGAGTTGTATAAAGTGACATTTGAACCATTTAGGTCTGTAACATTAAAATAATTAAACTGCGACAAAATATAAGTTAAGTAATCTACGAAACTTTCTTTCAAATCATCCAAACTGTAAGTTGAATAATTGAAATATTTTTCATTATCAATTATTGTAGAATTTGATATTGACATATTCAATTCAGTAATGTTGAAATATTCTGTTGAAGCTGTTTCTGTAGGTGTGGAGTTAAAATGTTCTAGAGCAAATTGACTGACTGTTGTTAGAACTCTTTGCATGAGGTTTTCTGCTATATCTGTGAGGTTTGATGGTATCACTGTTGAGGTTATGTCAGCAAAAAAGGGTTCGGTGCATAGACATGTTTCAAGGGTTTTGTTATCAGTCAAAGACGACACAGTTGATGTTAGAGATGATGGTGATGATGATGTATACAGAGCTACATCAGTGGTTGTGGGTTTGGCAGGGTTGGTTTTAAAATTTTCATGGTATTCTTCCTTCTGAAATAAATTACTAATAATTATAGAGCGTGTATTGTTTGTTTAGCGATCGATTCAACGTCACGCCATATTATTATATTGTCGAACTCTCTCTTTCAATTGACAACCAAATGAAATCCTAGATCATATATACTTAGGTGAATGCATAAACGCCATACGATTAGAAAGAAATGAACGAAATGTAAGTCATTGATATATTTGCTACAGTTTCTATAGTGATTTACGTATCTACGTAAGTATATATCTAGGGTTTGTACCCTAACATACCTACATGAATTTAACAAAAATAGAACTCACTCGCTTAGTAATTTTAGAACAATATGAACCGTTCTCAGACGCACCATAAAACACATATTTGACAAATAATAATGACGTAACGCTGAACACTCTGAGTGATTGCTTGTTAAAATTAAGGGTTATTTGCTTCAACAAAGGATGAATAAATATCTCAGTAATATCAAAGAAATGAAGACTAAGAATTTTTTCAACTTACCATATCACTTATTTTGTAAAACAATGCAAATATTAAGGAGTACAAATTAAGCAAGTTCAATACCATAATTCTGAAAATTACTTCATTAATGTTTTAATAGTATAATTAATGGAAACATAGATACTATACCTAGCTAGTTGAAGCATTAGTTGCTTTCTCGGGTGATATTGCTCGAGAAAACCCAGAATCTCGAAAAGCATCGGGAAAAAGACAGTTATCAATGACATAACTACAGTTATCTCGTTTCTTCTCCACACAGTACTGTTGGCTTCTTTTTCTGTCGATCTTTTTACCACAACAACTACAGCAAAGGCGGAAAATGATAACAGTCCGACAACTAGGCTGTTGACTAGTATCCGAAAACATATAACTTTCCAACTAAAATCAAAAAACTGATTGTGATTAATAAAAATAGTTATTTGAGTAACTAGTTCAAAAAGGACATATTTGTTGCACGACGGACGCATGAGATCTTTTGGTCTGGCAATCATGCTGAGTGCAACAAATATGCTTTTTGCACATGTTGCGCACAGCATTTTTTCTACGATCGACTTGAAAGTCTTATTTAAATCTTTATTAAAAAGTGTTTCTTTATTAAAAAAGTGTTTTTTGCACTAGTGTAAAAAATGTTACTTTTAATACAATGTTGCGAGGAAGTTGTAGATGAGGAGTGAGAGCTGTCCACAAAAAAAGGTAGGTATCAAAGTTGGGTTTTTTGTAATAGAACACCCTATATATTAATTGATTTTCGGATTCTAGGAGAAAAATAAAGGTGAGTTTTATAAAAGACAAATTTAACATTTTCTAGAAATAAAGAACAATTTTTAAATTACAATAAAAGCTACCTAAATTGGAATTTACCCGGTATAGCCTAATATGTAGTTAAATTAACTATTGTACCTACTTTAAATCAAATTAAAACTTGATCCAAAAAATTATACAGGGTGAGACAAAATTAATATTGAACATTGGTCACCATTAAAAGCATGTTATTCTTTTATTTTAAATGGAACACCCAGTATATTATTCCGATATTTAATGGAGAATTTATGTCTCTTCAAAATACTATTAAAGTTATCTACCCCTCTAACAAACATTTTCCTAGATATTTTCATTTACATAATATGATCTGAGTAGATCTTTATTATTTGATAAAATCTAGGTGGCTGGGATATGTCCGACGATACTTCAACATAGCTGTCTAGTTAGTCCACCTTTAACAACTAGTTATCATTATGTGTCAGTTAAAACAAAAAAAAATTCTCAGAAATTTGCCGAAAATGCAAACTTATCCTACACCAGAGAGAATTATTGATATGATTTTATTAGTTGGTGAATGCAGTGTGTATTCACCAATTAATAGAATACTTTAATGCTCCTGATTTTATCAAGTCTGTTTTTTTATGAGGATATATTAGACAGTGATTACAAAACTCGATTACAAAACTATTTTTCTTCAATCTTCGAAATTCGACTTTACAAGTGGAGAAAGATACGTCTAAATATTTTTCGATACCGTTTGATAGAGAGTTATCCCGGGGTCTAAAAAGAATTTTTAAGAATGTCAATTATAAACTTGTGTATAGTGCTAGTAATAAATTACAACAATTATTGGGTAATTCAAAGGACAAAACACCTCCACTGGAAAGGTCGGGTATTTATGAAATTTCTTGTAAAAATTGTAATCAGAAATATGTTGGGCAAAAAAGAAGATCAATATTAACTAGATTTAAAGAACATTTAGCTCAGATAAGATATGGTAGACCGGATAAATCTTGCGTTGCCGAACATATTGTTGATAAAGAACATTTTATAGGTCTTAATAATTTAAAATTAATTAAACAAGTCTCAAATTACAGGCAATTAGATGCATATGAAAGCATCAGAATTAATAAATGTAAAGATAGTATGAACAGAGACAACGGTCCAATTCCTTCAAGTTCTTTGTTCCTACTACTCTAGTGGCGGAAATCTAACTGTTACGCTCAGTTGGCTCTGACTCGGTTGGTTAGTTTTTGCCACGCCCACTCGGTGCCCACTGGGCGAGTATATAAACGCTCAACTTGTAGATTGTACTTTAGTTTATAATCATCTGCTGATGATGCTAACATGGTTAGCGAAACGCGCGTCCAGTGTAAAAGTAAAAGTGTTTTGGTGTATTGTGGTGATTTAGTGTTTTTATTTTGCTAAAATTTAGGTAGCTGTTATCGAAATTTAAAATTTACTCTTCATTTTTACTAAATGTGAAATATGTCAAAATCCTTAGATTTTAGGTATATGCTTCTTTAATAAAACTCACCTTTATTTTTTTCCTAGAATCTAAAAATCAATTAATATATAGGGTGTTCCATTAGAAAAAACACAACTTTGATGTATAAACTAAACCTACATATGCTGGTAAAATTTCAATTCGATATAAACTACTGTTCTTCTTGGAGCTTCGGCTGCGTATATGAGAAGCGCCACCCTGTACAGTAGATAGTGAAAAAAAGATAGCTGCTTTTTGCACGATCGTAGAAAAATGTATGTTTTGGGTATAATATGTCAAAAGTCATCAATTTACTTTCTGGATTCTCTTTTCTTTTCAGTTTCCTCGAGGAGAGCTTCTTTGAAGCCTGTAACTATTGAAGCTACTCTGTTATGAGCCGTTTCAGCATTTCCAATCATGTAATCCCATGCAGTGAACAGCTTCCACGAAAAAATGCATTCGTCATCTTTTTCGGATAGTTTTGACATCCTAGAATTCTCAGCCATCCTAAAATATCACATTAGTAGGTCTTCATGGTTTTAACTCTTACGAAAAGCGCTTAAGCAGTAGAAACAGTTACAGGTAAAACTTAAAGCTTTAAAGCTCTATGTTGTCAGTTGTCATATTCACCTACTTTCTTAATGTGGCAAAGAAGCTGTAAGCATAAACGACCAATCCAGTGACGAAATAAGCAAAAGGAAGTCTGTAACCACTCTGTTCTCTGAAACTTTTCTTATCAATGCTGTTCGAGACTGCAGATTCATTATAATCTCTGTTCGTGTACCAACCGTAGAATAAGGGAGAGTACTTGAAGACTCCCTCAAAATCCCACAGAGTTAGGAAGTTGGTAGAGTTGTACTTTTCTTCGGGAAGGACATATTTTCTTTCTTTTACAGCTTCTGGGTCTGCTGTTATTATCTAGGTCGCGAAAAGAAAATTGTAATTAACTCAAGCAAATAATGTAAATAGAAAAAATTGACATTACAAAACAACGAAAATCATGATATACAAACCAGATTAAAAAAATACTTTTAAAAAGGTATTTGAAATACTAGATATAAAATACGTATTTTGTAAATAATTTTATTACAAAAAAGTATGTACTTTTATCCGACAGCCACTGCTAATACAGACATTACTCACATATACAGGGTGTTTCAAAACAAATGCGAAAAACTTCAGGGGGTGATTCCTTATTCAAAATAAAGGGTAGTTTGCTTCATAAACGTTGGGTCAAAAGTCAATCATTAGGGAGATATTGCGGTACAAAGATGGCGGAAAAATAAGGTTTTTATTTTTTATTTTGAAATCGAAAAGAGATAGGCTAATAAAATTTTATGGAAGCATTACTGTTATGAAAACACACTTTCTGGTAATTTTTCACTTTTTCTGGAAATGGGTGGAAGGGGTTGGAAATAAACTACCCTATCATTCTTGTTAACGAGGGGTAAAGAAAAATCTTATCAAATACATGCAAAAAAATTAATTTGGATAGTTTAGTTTTGTTTAGAAACTTTTTATATCTTGTATTTTTTGATAAAACTCACCGATTTAAAATTAAAAATAAAATGTAAAACGTTACATGTCCAGGACAAAAAAACATTTTCTGATAAAGAATCCTAGTGGGCTGCTGTAATTTTTTAAGAAAAAAATATAGTCGGCCCGCTGTTACTTTTAGGATGTTCCTAATATTATTTGAGTTGAAATTACTCTAAATAATGCAATTCGTTATTATCTAGAAATGTTTATTATCGTTATTATCACTAGATTCTTAATCTAAAATTTTTTTAATTAATCCTTTAATTTTATTTTTTAATTTCCAATCAAAAACACAAGAGATAAAAAAGTTTCTAAACAAACTAAACTATCCAAATTAAAGCATTTGCATGTGTTTGATAAGATTTTTCTTTAAATTTCGTTAACAAGAATGATAGGGGTAGTTTATTTCAACCCCTTCCACTCATTTTAAAAAAGTAAAAAAAATACCTGAAAGTGTGTTTTCATAACAGTAATGCTTCCATAAAATTTCATTAGTCTATCTCTTTTCGTTTTCAAGATAAAAAATAAAAACATTATTTTTCATTCATTTATTAATGGTTGACTTTTGACCCAACGTTTATGAAGCAAACTACCCTTTATTTTGAATAAGGAATCGCCCACTGAAGTTTTTCGCATTTGTTTTGAAACACCCTGTATACATGCATATAAAATAAATAACACACGCGTCTGTTCCTCCACTGCTTGAAATAGGCTGTCATTACAACGGCTCGTTCTGGAACACTTACAGCACCTTGAATCTTTTTCGCAATCTCTATTTAATTGTTGATGGACTCTTGGATATATTCTTCCGCAACCGTTGCAGATCGCCATCCTCTGTGTCTTTTTAACGTTGTCATATGTTCACTCCTGCATTTGCCAGTAATGTAGCGGATGATCTTCTCATACAATGCGCCAGTGTATTGCCCAGGATGTTGTAGGCTCAAGTACTTGCGGATGGTCTTCCTGAATCATTTTTCTTTAAAATCTGACTTGCTGGTTGATAATTCACTATTTTATCGTTAAAAAATCGCGATTTATGCCCACTTGCACCGTTTGTATGAACTTCGTTTAAAGGCTAAACAATGATTAACTGTATATTGTAAACGCCACAAATGTTTGGGAGTGATTCATCGCTTGATGAAGTTATAATCGACACGCGCGCTATCATTTTTACATTAAAAACGTAAATTTTTACCGCAGACGTAGGTTTTTAAAGGCCCGGTCTAATCACCTGCCTGTGCTCCTCCTACTTATTCTAACATGTGTTAGGGTGATTGACAAAGACGATACTATATCGCGTTTCTTTGATTGATTCGTTTTTGTGCGTCAGTCCATTGGTGTGCTTGCAGCGCGACCAATGGGGCATTCCATTTTATATTTATAACCAAATATAGTGTGACCAACGGATCTGTAGCTATGGGGTATCGGCAGGGGAACGCAGTCGTAAACAAAACACGCCCAATTTCATTCATAAAATAGGCATGGCCGTACGGTGTTATATGAAAATAATGTGTATCATAAATATAATGCTCAGATTAATATTTTTTTTCAAAAAACTTTAGGCTGTTTGAATCGTTACTGTTGGGTTAGCAGATAAAGACTAAAAGCTTTTATTAAAGCTCCCTTAAATATTTTGAATCATTTTATTATTGTGTTGTTAATATAATAGAAGAAATAATTACAGCTGGGGGTTGGAACCTTTGGTGTTACACAGCAAAATAAAACACTAGATCAGTACAATACGCCAAAACACTTTTAATTTTACGCTGGACGCACGTTTCGCTAACCATGTCTGCCATCAGCAGATGATCAAGACTGAGTCTTGAGGTATATTTATTTATATATCTGTACTAACTATATTTTTTTCTATAATACATAATTTTAGAATTTTAGACATAACTATTTCCAGCAAAAAAAAATCGTGAAAATAGTTAACTTTGGAAGCGCAAACAAAACATAATTTTCCTCACCAGTAGATCCAATATTGCCTATTACACCAGATATGGTATCGCTCCGCCAGCAGTTTTTAAAGGTTAGGTTATTGTCTACCCATATGTTTCATCCAAATAGATAATACTTGGCTATATTTTCAAATTTCGCGTATATATTTATATCTCTCTCTGTAATATAATGGGCCGCTCCATTAATATTTATCTGTTATTTTGACATTTACGCCAAAAAAATTCATTTGATTTTAATAACCCCCTAAGCGTTTTCCTGCAAAAGGAAAATTCGATTCTTCCTGCAATTTTTGCAAAAGCTAATTGTGGGGACGAGTTTGAATTCGAGATAAAATCTATTTATCAAATTCCTGACCACTTCGAAAAAGTCGTCGAGCTTTTCGACAGCAATCTCACGTGGTCGTTTCTTTCCAGAGCTGGATATCATTTTATCGGGGTTAGTTTTCAACCTTTTTTTTTATCTTCTGTGTGAATTTTTTTATAGCCGATACGCTAACTCCGGAATAAAGAAATATCCGCTCAAGTTACGTTTAAGCGGCAACTTAAGCGAACTCTCTGTAGCTTCTTCATCGCAAACCCTATTATGAACACAAGGAAACAAACCAAATGAGATTTCATCCACGTTATTATTAACTTACCTATATAAATTAGCTATTATTTCTCTTGTCTGACTATGTAGCGTCTTACTCTTAACAAATTTATTCATTTTAAAACACAAATATACGATCAAACTTGATATTAATAATTAAAAACTACGAACGAAAAACATTATAACAAGATAACAAAACAATCAAACACAACTTAACTGTCATACGAAAAATATAGGAATAAAGTTTAGGATAACCGGTATAAAATAATGAATAAAGTAATAATGATCAAAAAAATGACACCGCCACTGGATATTTCAATAGTATTCAATATTCCTACTCTTTTCAGAAGAGACCGTGAAGTTGGGGATAAAGCAAGCGAATAGGAAAGGCGTAAAAGCCATGGCAACCGCGTGGTAACAAATCCTGTGACGTACTCTCGCCAATCATGTTCGATGAATAGGCGGCCATGCGCGGCGATGTCGGTTTGCCAATGATATCGTTGAAAAATCTTCAACTGTCATAATAAGCAGATTATACAGAATGAAAGAAATAAGTTATATTAAATAAAACATATCGAACAATATGAACTACGTTAAAATTCCTTAGTAATATACGTCAGAATATATGCTAAACACATTATATATAATAAAAATATATTAAATTTATAGTTCATGTCTGGCAAATTTGCTATTTTATAGATAAACGTGGCAATATCGATTTTTTTTTCTCGCATTCCTTCCGTAGCTTCAGATCCGCTGGTCAAACAGTATATGTTTTGACAAGACTTTGACAGTTAAAACAACAAATTACAACAGATTATATATTGATTATTATATGACTTGAAACACCACGGCACTGGAATTAAGTTTTATGTGACCTTGAAAAGAGTAGTTCACATGGTAGCGACCGATGAATCACTCCCAAACATTCGTGGCGTTTACTATATAATATTTTATTATAGTTAATCATTGTTTAGCCTTTAAACAAGGATTATACAGACGGTGCAAGTGGGCATTATCTACATGACGTCGCATAGTGACATAAACGCACCCTGATAATTTATTAATTCGCAACAATGAAAGTAGAACTGGTAGATCCTTTTAAATCAATTATTCTTTAGAGATTGGACATAAAACAGTTCAGCTGTTGGATAACATTTTGTATGGCACTCGGGTTTTATAACATTGTCAAGTCACTTGAGAAACTAAAATAAAAAAATAAATACTTGGGTTTTAAATATATTTTTCTACAAATTAATATTTAAATAGAATATATTAGATACACTCTATGTAAGTGATGTTATAAGATATGTTTTCAAATAATATACAATTGTTCTCATAATATAATAAATAATATAACCTATTGATTTATTTGGCTTTGATGAAGTCAGCATTTCTTCATTATTATTTGACTATTGCAGTAGCAACAAACTATTAAATAATAATTATTGGATTAATAAAAAAACTATAAACATGTTGTTATATGGATTAATAATTTTAAGTGTTATATTGAATTGTGATGCTGTGTTTTACCCAATAAAAGATTTGAATGAAATGATCAACGTCAGTCCTCCTGAAGATCAAATATCGTTTCATCTGTATCATTAGTAAGTTCCAGGAAAATAAAATCATTATGCTGGGTGAGTCTTAAATAAGTGCAAATATTACCAGGCCTGATAGATCTCGATAAAAAAACATATTTTCTCTTTACCGTTTTTCAAATAACTCCAAAATAACCGAATTATTTTGCTATGAATTTTTGTCTAAATTTTGAGAACCACTAGATATTTTCTGAGGTTATTTTCTTGTAAATTTAGTCTACTACCTATGTTGCCATATTAGGTATCAAGAAATTATGGTTTTTAACTAAAAATTTAAAGAAAATCCAAACATTTTTTTTCGGGAAAAAAACTTCATAGACGTGTTTCTGGGGTCAAAATATACTACCCCTAAAAATATTTGTACTTATTTAAGACTCACCCTGTATACGCATTAATATATTATCCTTGTTTATATATTCTTAAAGTTGATCAACCTCTCGACAAAATGTGCTGCCTCTGGTGAACAAATCGTGAAGCTTTAAAGGAATGAAGCATGTGATTAGGGGCGGAGTCAAAAATATCGATTATTTGCGGTATTTCCCTCAGAGTAATGTAATAATATAGCCTCGGATTTTTGCGAACTATAATAGGGCTCAACTGATTAAGAAATTTAAACAAAACTATTATTTCATTGTTGATTTTCGATTATTTTTGCTGTTATTTTAAGGATTCTAAACCGTATTAACAAGGAAATTATTATTTCAATATGTTGGTACATTAATGCTAATTACTGGTAATTATTAATATTTAAAAAAAGTTACATACACTTACTTTATTTCGATTTGACACAGAGGTATAAAATTTTATTTCATTCTTAGATCATTTTATTCTAAATTGAGGTTTTACGAATTTACGATAATTTTTTTTTTTAAACAAAACTTTTATACATTCTTGATTAAATTTTTTCTTAATTAAAAATAAAACTTGGCACTTGCTTCAATAATATTATTTGACATTTAAATAAATATTATGTACTTAATACACCATTTAAATCTTTATTACACGAAATAAATATTTCTTAGCGTAAAACATGATCAGAGTCAAATTTGTTTTAACTTTGTACCATATGAAAAAAAACGGCGTCCAGTTGGCTGGGAAATGACGATCGACGACATTTCCCATATAAATTTACATATAAAATGACAGCGGTCTTCATTTCATAGCCATCACTGACGCCGTTTATTTTCGATCAAGAATTATAGAAACTGAAAATATCATTATGTTTTAACTCACAAAGCCCGTTAAACCATAAAACTTTCTAGTATATTGTTTTATTAGGAGTAAAAATGGCACTTTTCGTGGCGAGACTGTACGTTTGACATACAGCCGAAGCACAAAAAGTCATTTTACTCGAATAAACATGCTATTTTTTCAAACGCCACAAATAATTTTTTAAACAATTTCAAACGTTCCAAATAATATAAAAGATTTAAAACTCATACCTTGTAAGTAATTATCATGATACAAAGAAAACAAGGTATGATATTGCGCAGGTTGGTCACCACGTCACAGGTGATAAACGGCACTATTGGTCGGCAAGCTCCACACGCCAATTTCAAATTTTCAAACAGATGATACATAATAAATGTGTATAATGTGTCATAACTTTTCAAATGTCAATCTCGATGATTTTACATAACTTTAGGGATTATGTCCGAATTCTTCCCTATTTTAAGTCTTTTTTTATTAGTGGCAATTGAACAATAAGGATATTTTTTTGTATGGCATATGACGTCACAGGCGATATGCGCAAACTGAACTAAATTGGAGTCGCTATCGATCATACCTTGTTTTCAAGTTTTCTTTGTATCATGAGTAATTATATATCGAGAAACTATGGTTACGGCTCGTTGAATTTGAGACTTATGTCATTTTAATAATATATTTTCATACTTTTATGCTTCGGCGTAAAAGTGCTTTACTTTTATGCCTAGGCGTTAAAATGACTTTTATATTGTCAATCACGTAGCAAAAATTAATACTTTTGTGACATTTGAAAAGAAATAATATTTTGAAAGTAACTGGTATATTTTTCTGCCACAACAAAGTTATTATACAGTGATAAATGATAAGATCATATTGAAACACGGCTACTGGGTAAAAAAAATTGGCTAAATTTTATCAATAATACTCCAGTTCAAAAGTTATTTTCCAAAATAATTAATATTTTTTAATAATTGATTGCAATTAATATTATTTGACTAGTTTAATTTGATTAATAAGACTAGATTAATTTAATTTAAAATAAATTTGATCAGATTTTTTTTCGTATATTCAACTACCAGAAAACCAAAATTATATGATAACGAACTTTTAAACGAAGTTGAAGGAAGATTATAATGTATCTATCACACTATTTAAAAGCACTACTACAATTATTAGAAGAAAAACAAAAAGAAAAAAATACCCAAATACCTTCACCTTCTACTCAACTACAAAATAAATGAATATAATCTCTTACAAGAACACTACACAAACTACTTCTTGTATTCTACACTAAACAAATTATCAAACTTATTAATTAATCAAACATAAAGAAAAATTAAGCAAATTACCCCTTCACCTACTACATAACTTCAAAATAAAATATATAAACACTACTAAATTACTTCTGGTAGTCTACACTAAACATTATAATCAAACTTAATAAATTAATCTAATTTTACATTACAACTACAAAGAAACAAGAAAATGTTTTAAAACTACAAGAAACAAAACTTCGACACGTGCGACGAGTGTAATAAATCAAACGGACAAAGAATATAAAATACTTTAAAATGTGCATTCAGAAAGAAAAAATGTCTCGAAAATTATCTAAACAAACATTTTTTTTCTTATCAGTGAAAAACATCGACCTCGTCGGCCTTGCGGAATTTGTCGGGTATTTACAATGGTCCAATTGTATAATTACCAGCTTTCATAGCATATCTAATAGACAAAAAATATCTGGTCGATTAGTAACCAATTGGCACAGTCCGAAAATTATCGATTTTTATTTTCTCTGTTTTTATCGGCCGCTTCTAAATTCAGAGTAACAAAAAATATTTTTCTGTAGTAAAAGACTGTGAAATACGCCCCGCCATCTGGTGCTTTACATACATAAACGTCTTAGGTTGAGCTACTTTAAAAATTCATATACAAGGATATTATTTATAAAAATGTAAATTTTAGTACTGATCTTTCTGTGGACGATGAGATAATTATTAACAATGAAACTTCCATTGAGAGTTCTAGATTTGATTCAGAACTACCAACAAAGGTACTTATCCATGGATGGACTCATGGTAAGGATATTCTATGGGTTAGGGAAATGAGAGAAGGTAAGTGATAATCTAGAAACGCTAGAGGAGTTAGAAAAATGAATGTCATGGAAACCGATAAGTTAAAACAATCTAATGCCCAAATCCATGATAATAAAGTAATATTTTATATATTTTCGTTTTTGTAATTGTTAATATCTTTTAGATGGGTTAGTTAGAAAGTAGAATATTTTCCAAAAAAATCCTTTATGGGTATTTCGCCACTGCACTGCAAAGAAGACGGAAAGAGATAACTTTCCGAAACGTTAAGCATTTTTTTTCTTTGTTAGGCAAATTTGTATTACTGTCAACATAACTTCTGACAAGCAGCGTCCGTTTTGGTTTAACGCAAAAGTGTTTACAAAAAATAATTATTTTATTTTGTAGATTTTCTTGCAGTGCCGTGGCAAAATACCCATAAAGGATTTTTTTGGAAAGATGAATCCTCCACATAGGTATAGACATTTTTTAGAATATTTTGTTTTTAAGCTATGGCTAATACAAGACTATGGAACGTGATTGTAGTCCATTGGGCACCACTCTCCCATGTTATATACTTTGAAGCTAGACTACACACCCCAGTAGTAGCTAAACAGGTAGCTAATATGATTTTGACATTAAAAAAGTGAGTATAACTTTTTAAGTCTATTAGTAGCTGTGCATTAGAATTTTGACACAAAAAATCAATATTTTTCTGTTGAAAAATGATACGTTTTTAAAATTACGAAATATTAATATAATTTTAGAAAATTAGAGGTATGGATTGTGTGCGTAACTTTATTATAATATGGTTTCAGGTTTAAAGGTACGAACATGTCAGATGTACATATCATAGGCCACAGCATGGGAGCCCAAATATCAGCCTACGCAGCCTTTAAAATTAGGGAACATTCTAATGATACTGTAGGACGGTAAGTATAGTTAAAATCAAGTAAACTTTGAGTCACGTGATTAAGCTTGACCGGCACAGCATTGTCCACCTTTACATACTTTCTTTTATCGAAAACATTTTAGCAAACAAAAATAAATTAATTATCTTATACTAATATATAAAATCCTTAAGTGACTGACATACTGATTAATCACGATCCTGCTCAAACCACTCAACGTAAGAAGCTCAATTTTGTATACAGGTTGATTCTAGGGTGTAGAGGTTCGATAAGAAGGGATTTTTTAAAATTCCAGTTCCAAGAGGGTGAAACCACCCCTCAAATATTACAATATTTTTTATTATTTAAAAAAAATCACAACAAAAAAAAAAGAAAAAGTAACAGAGCGGAATCACTCATATAAAACTTATACAGCATTACAGGCTTGGATCCAGCGGCACCTCTATACGAATGGCCTCACACAGAATCCCTGGACGAAGTTATAGACCCCAGTGACGCCACATTTGTAGACGTCATCCATACCAACGCCAGACATCTTGGAATGGTCAGTCCCTCAGGACACGTTGACTACTATCCGAACGGAGGGGAAAACCAACCTGGATGCGCCTTCTGGATATGCAGTCATCAAAGAGCAGTGGATTACTGGACGTCTTCGGTGAAAAATCCGGAACTATTTCATGCATATCCCTACGATTCTTGGGATGAATATCTCTCAGAAAACGTGAAGAAATTGAAGAGTTATCCAATGGGAATTGCAGCGAGTAGAAGTATTCCTGAAGGAATATATTATTTGGAGGTTGGGAATGAATTCAGACAGTATCTGACATCTGTAAATAGCATCGACGATAGTTGGACATAAAATTAGTTGTGTTACTTACATATTAATAAAGAAATAAGACACATAAATGTTTTTTTCTATTATTATAAGATTAAAATAAAAATAAAGATTCAATGAATCACAATAGACTTACCTCGGGTATAGTAACGAATGAGATGATCACGACTGCTATAACAATGTTGACCCAAAACAACCAACGTAGAAAAATAAAATACGATGCTACCACAGATCCAAAGTGAGATTCTATCTCTTTTATCTTCAGTTCCCATGGTATAAACCACATGGACATGTTGGTAAGCTCTCTTTTCCAAATTTGCCACTTCTAAAACACAAAAAAAACTCAGCATTATAATCTTTGTATATTCTAGTTAATCCCTACTTTGATTAAGACAATATTGTATCTGGCCAGCATATCCCTGGTCGAATGACTCTGGGCTAGTCTCTCTTGAAGCTGACCCTCGTGTTTCTTAATGTATGCCTTCGCTTGTAGCACCAGCTTCAATTTCTTGCGCATGTTCCAAGGCTGCATCTTAACGTTACTCAGAACCTCCTTGTGCAGCTTTATGTTTTCGAAGATCTCGTCTTGAGTGACTTCGTTGATTTGGTCGCCATCGACAGTGATTGCGGTGCTGGAATGATATTATTATATTTAGCAATGATGGTTAAGATCACTGAGATTGATGTTTTTACTCTCCGGAGCTTGTAGTGAAGACTGAAGACCTTCTTCGTTCTGGTACAGGCGTTTCTGGTGAAAACGGTGAGCTGGCTCTTCGGTTTCTTTTTTTGGATCTTCTAGTTGAAGCTCTGCGTTGAATGATCGCGTTGACGCTGATTGAGTAGTCTTCGTCGTCTGATCCGGTTGGTTCTAAAAATCTCTCGTTTTTTAGGTTTAATATTTAGGGATCATTTTACTTCTTGCATTCAATCGTCCTAAACGCTATTCATGCTAAGCGATACGCCCTCTATGCCCGGATTTTCGAACTATCATATGGGCCATTTCTTTTATTGATTTGCATTGTTTAGGTTTGGAAATCGAAGCTGACGACTCTTATTTCCCATTTATTCTTTGTGTTTTATGTTGTGCTTTTCGTTTGAAATTAAATAAATATGAATCATTATTGCTGTGTGCCAAAGTGTAATTATTGGGCAAAGAAAAACCCCGAGAATCGTTTCCAAAGGAAGGATTGTCGAAAGTATTGTGGAAACCGAACTTGGGAATAAAGAGCTGGTGGATCGAAGAAAAAATTGGATTAAGGCATTGAAAATTGGAAAGGAAGTTTCAGATCATATGCGAGTGTGCTCATTACATTTTTCAGACCAAGATTATTTTCATAAAGGTGGGTTTTGTTAGGTTTATTTTAGATAGAAAAAATCGCAGAATTTTAAAGAAAACCGCTGTCCCCACAAAAAATCTGCCACTTGTGCTTGACTCAGAGGCAGGTCCATCATCCAGGGATATCCGCACAGCTGGTAGAAGAAAGAGAAAACCAATCCGAACCCGAAGTCAGTATGGAATGTGAACAAGATGTAGAAGACGAGGAAGATACTGTTGCTGGAGAAAATATGATAACAGCTCGAAAACGCTCTTCACTACCTACGGAACCAAAGTTTAGGGATGCAGAAGTGCAAGTGAATACCCCAAAAATTCACACATTATGTGAGCTTTAACAACTTATTATATTATTATTAACGATTTATTGGGCAGTGATATTTTGACCTGTTTTGGTACTTATTTTTTTAAATAATATACATATATTTTTTTGCATGTTATTTTTAGTCATACAATATATTTTTACTTTATACCAATTTACATAAAAATAAATACTACCATTATATAGACGCACATCTTTTATTTAATTAACTAGTTCCTACTCTGTGCATGTACAGGGACATCATTTTAAGTGTCTCACTCGATTTATAATTTTCCTGTTTGGTATTTAAAGATAGTAGAAAGATTTTCTAATGTAATTTTTCGCGAGGATGCCGATTCTCTACACCAAAATTTTTTACAACGTCAATTTTGACAGATACGACGCCATCTTGATTTTTTTTAAATGGAAACCCCCACATATTTTAGCATGGTCCGGTAGACATATTTTAGCTAATTTCAAAAATATATAGTTTAGTATACTTTGCACTTACCGTTTTCGATATACAGTGGATTTAAAAATGAATTGTTCCAGAATCATTTTAAGTGTCTCACCCAATTTAAAATTTTCCGCTTTCCTATTTTAAGATAGTAAAAAGATATTGTAATGTAATTTTTCGCGAGGATACCGATTGTCTACACCAAAATTTTTTAAAACGTCAATTTTGACAGATACGAGCCATCTTGATTTTTTAAATGGAAACCCCACATATTTTAGCATGATCCGGTAGACATATTTTAGCTAATTTCAAAATATAAAGTTTAGTATACCTTGCTCTTACCGTTTTCGATATACAGTGGATTAAAAAATGAATTGTTCAGAATCATTTTAAGTGTCTCACCCAATTTAAAATTTTCCCTCTTTTCTATTTTAAGATAGTAAAAAGATATTTTAATGTCATCATTTTTCGCGAGGATGCCGATTTTCTACATTAAAATTTTTTACAACGTCAATTTTGACAGATACGACGCCATCTTGATTTTTTTAAATGGAAACCTCCACATATTTTAGCATGATCCGGTAGACATATTTTAGCTAATTTCAAAAATATATAGTTTAGTATACTTTGCTCTTACCGTTTTCGATATACAGTGGATTTAAAAATGAATTGTTCCAGAATCATTTTAAGTGTCTCACCCAATTTAAAATTTTTCCTCTTTTTCTATTTTAAGATAGTAAAAGATATTTTAATGTCATTTTTTCGCGAGGATGCCGATTTTCTACATTAAAATTTTTACAACGTCAATTTTGACAGATACGACGCCATCTTGATTTTTTTAAATGGAAACCCCCACATATTTTAGCATGATCCGGTAGACATATTTTAGCTAATTTCAAAAATATAAAGTTTAGTATACCTTGCTCTTACCGTTTTGGATATGCAGTGGATTTAAAAATGAATTGTTCCAGAATCATTTTAAGTGTCTCACCCAATTTAAAATTTTCCTCTTTTCTATTTTAAGATAGTAAAAAGATATTTTAACGTAATTTTTCACGAGGATGCCGATTTTCTACATTAAAATTTTTTACAACGTCAATTTTGACAGATACGACGCCATCTTGATTTTTTTTAAATGGAAAGCCCATCATATTTTAGAATGGTCCGGTAGACATATTTTAGCTAATTTCAAAAATATATAGTTTAGTATACTTTGCACTTACCGTTTTGGATATACAGTGGATTTAAGAATGAATTGTTCCAGAATCATTTTAAGTGTCTCACCCAATTTAAAATTTTCCTCTTCTCTATTTTAAGATAGTAAAAAGATATTTCAATGTAAATTTTCGCGAGGATGCCGAATTTCTACATTAAAATTTTTACAACGTCAATTTTGACAGATACGACTATATATTTTTGAAATTAGCTAAAATATGTCTACCGGACCATGCTAAAATATGTGGGGGTTTCCATTTAAAAAAAATCAAGATGGCGTCGTATCTGTCAAAATTGACGTTGTAAAAAATTTTAATGTAGAAAATCGGCATATTTTTTTAAATAATATACATATATTTTTTTTGCATGTTATTTTTAGTCATACAATATATTTTTACTTTATACCAATTTACATAAAAATAAATACTACCATTATATAGAGACACATCTTTTATTTAATTAACTAGTTCCTACTCTGTGCATGTACATGTACATAGCAGAGTTTGACAGATTTTGGCAAAAAAAGGTCCTAATTCCATCGTCATCCGTTTCAATATTGGAATGTTTTACCTTGCCTATAAAACAGGGCATTTCATCTACAGGAATAGGCTTATATCGCTCTTTGGTATCTACGTTTTGTGTTGACCAAACACATTTTATGTCAGTTGGAGATATATCTCCTAAACTCTCAATATCCTCTCTAAACAAATTACAAATAAATAGCAATCAAACTCAAAAATAACACTAAAAATGTTGATTTTACCTGACACATTTTACAAGAACGGCCGAAACTTGTTTGCATTTACCACTGTTACCGGCTTTACAAGAACAATGCATTCTCAGTGGTTAAAGTTCCCTTAATTTCATGTGGATCCGAATTAATGGCACTGGATTGTAAACACAAGCCATAAACATTAATCCAGTCGCTTGTGAGTTCGGTTTTTCCAACCAAAATTAAATGCCCTGCATTAAGGACATTTTCCCCTTCACGCATTTGGAATGTGTGGATCCGTTCAAATACCGCATATATTCCAAAATGCTTAATCGCATGATGAAAACCGAAGTATTTATCAAATAAAAAATGTTCACAAATCACAAAATTGTCCAAAACCAACTATAAAAACTCGAAAACAGACACCAAACACACAACGCAAACCACAAGAAAACAATTAAATAAATGGCGGAATGATGCGGAATGACTCATAGATTAGTACGAGTTGTCGCCGCTATGGCGCTGCGATCTTATTTTGAATTGCCTCTAGCCTTGCATACAGACAATAGCATACAGGGTGCTTCTTAAAAGTGGCTCAGCGTTATAACTTTTTTATTTTTTCCAGATAAAAAAACGAAATATGACATAAATTCGGATTGATTGACGTATTCAATTGTTTATGGTCACTTCCTGTTTTACCAGAAATGACTACAACTTCTGATTTTTAAACGACACCCTTGGTATTTTTTTACTTTATTTGATAGAAAATAACACTCTGAACAGAATATCATAAATGTCAAACTTTTGACATTTTCGCATATGGTTTATTGTAACGTGCAGTTCATAACATCAATTTGACTCGAAATACCAAGTGTGTGGTACCAAATTATTCGTAAAAAAATGATTTTTCCAAATTAAATATGCTAATGAACCACCTTTGTTCCATTTGAAAAAATTAAGATATAATTAAAAATACGATTTGGGCATCTTTTAACCGGCCAGGACAAGACATGAAAAACATTAGACAATCAAATCTATTTTCCCAAGGCTCCTTGATTAAAAATTAGTGTGTTTAACACAGCCATGGCACTCTAGAATAAAATTTAAAATACCATTTTTTTGGAAATTACAACATTTTGAAAATGTTGGCATATCATATATTACATATTATATTACATATACTGAAAAAATAAAAACGTTATAGGGGCGAGCCAATTTTGAGACGCACCCGGTATATAACGAGGAAAAATCTATACTACACTCTATGGGATTTTTTTTGGCATATGACTGACATACTGATTAATCCTGCTCAAACCACTCAACGTAAGATGCTCAATTTTGGCATAAAGGTTGATTCTAGGGTGTAGAGGTTCGATAAGAAGGGATTTTTCGAAATTCCAGTTCCAAGAGGGTGAAACCACCCCTCAAATATTACAATATTTTTTATTTAAAAAACGGTCAAGTTTCCGAAAAAACGCTTAAACACGTATATTTTATTTTGTTTTTTACGTTTATTAAGATTTTTTAAAAATGTATACAGGGTGTTAAAGAAATCATCCACACCCACTCACACTTTTTTGAATCACCCTGTAGATGTTAAAATATTTTACGCATGCCTTACGTTTGCACTATTGCCGGACCCCGTATAGCATGTCCTCTTGATTAGTAAATCTTAAAATTCTTCCTTTAATCACAACGAAGTTACAGGGTGGTCAAAAGTGCCGAGAATTGCGCGGAGAAAAACATGGTACGGCTGTGTTCAACTTGGCGGTATATCTTACTCACCTGGAGCAGCTTCAGGGGGCTGTATCTGTTCCTGTTGCATCTTGGCTACTTCTGTCTTGAGGAAACTCTCGGCAAACGTCACTGACAGCCGATCAACCGAAGGTTGTGGCGATACTTCTTCTTTCTATTTTTTTTCAGCAAATACAAAAATACTTACTTAAAAAATAAAATTCTGTTTTAACAAGTTAAAAACGGAAAAATATAGAAAACTACTCAGTCAAAGGGGTTGAATGCGACTGGAGAAGACATTCGGAGAAAAAGATACGAGTCAGAGCTAAACTAACCTTGTACACATATTAGTTTTATCACGGCAGGGCGCTAATGAAGGGTTATAATTTAATCAGAGGGCCCTAGAGCGACTCTAGGCACGCATCTTAGAGCCGCGCCCTCCGTGTATTCCTCCAAGTTTTCTTTGTTCCGTCGCGAGACTAAACACGCGGAAAAACCATGTTGGATCCGGAATTTATGGCGATTTTATTAAAAGGTTCTGCTGGCGGGGTTGTTATTAATTACCTACAGTTCATATCAAATAAACTCTTAGTCACGTGATTAACCGTCGTTTCTTAGGAAACAAAAATAAATTAATTATACAGGGTGTCCCAGAAATGAGTGCAAATATTTTAAGGGGTGGTAGATCTGGTCAAAAGAAACATTTTTTCTCTTTACCGTTTTTTAAATAAGTCCAAAATAACCGAGTTATTTTACTTTGAAAATTTCCAAAAAAAATCATTTTTTGCTAAAATTTTGAGAACCACTGGATCTTTGCTGGATTTTCTTTCATGTAAATTTAAGCTACTACCTATGTTGCCATATTATCAAGAAATTATGTTTTTTAACTTAATATTAAAAAAAAATCCAAAATTTTTTTCAAAAAATTCCAAATTTTCAAAATTTTTTATATATATATATATATATATATATACTCATATATATATGCTATATATATATGCTATATATATATATATATATATATATATATATATATATATATATATATATATATATATATATATAATGCAACTATGCAAATACTAGGGTGTTTAAAAACAAATAAAAACTTCAGGGGGTGATTCCTTGTTCAAAATAAAGGGTAGTTTGCTTTTATAAACGTTGGGTCAAAAGTCAACCGATTAGGGAGATATCGCGGTACAAAGATGGATTTTTTCACTTTTTTAAAATGAGTGGAAGGGGTTGAAATAAACTACCCCTATCATTCTTGTTAACGAAATTTAAAGAAAAATCTTATCAAACACATGCAAAAAAATTAATTTGGATAGTTTAGTTTGTTTAGGAACTTTTTTATCTCTTGTATTTTTTTGATAAAACTCACCGATTTGAAATTAAAAAATAAAATGTAAAGCATTACATGCCAGGACAAAAAACATTTTCTGATAAAGAATCTAGTGATAATAATGATAATAATAATAATCTAGATAATAACGTATTGCAGTAGGGTAATGTCAAATAAAACATAGTCGGCCGCTGTTACTTTTTAGGATGTTCCTAATATTATTTTATTTGACATTACTCTACTGCAATACGTTATTATCTAGATGATTATTATTATCGTTATTATCACTAGATTCTTATCTAAAAATGTTTTTCGTCCTGACATGTAATGCTTTACATTTTATTTTTTAATTTCCAATCGGTGAGTTTTATCAAAAAAAAACAAGAGGTAAAAAAGTTTCTAAACAAACTAAACTATCCAAATTAAGATTTTTCTTTAAATTTCGTTAACAACAATGATAGGGGTAGTTTATTTCAACCCCTTCCACTCATTTTAAAAAAATAAAAAAATTACCTGAAAGTGTGTTTTCATAACAGAAATGCTTCCATAAAATTTCATTAGTCTATTTCTTTTCGTTTTCAAGATAAAAAATAAAAACAATATTTTTCCGCCATTTTTGTACCGCGATATCTCCCTAATGGTTGACTTTTTACCCAACGTTTATGAAGCAAACTACCCTTTATTTTGAACAAGGAATCACCCCCTGAAGCCTTTCGCATATGTTTTGAAACACCCTGTATACCCTAGATGATGTCGATGATACCAAAAAACGAAATAGAAAACAAAGAATTTGAATGAAAGAACTAAAATATTGCGCAACATACACATACACTACACAACGCGTTGCGCAAACAGTCCTGTTGCACAAAAGAATTCAAATATTCTTGAAACTCATCAAACAATTGCGCAACGCATCAAACACTATCATACATTGGCAACTCGTTGGGCAACAGCCTGCGTTGCGCAATTTGTTTGATAATGTATGGGCCGCTTTAAGAACGTCAGAAGTTATTTTACCTGTGTCCTCTTAAATTCACTTGACAGCTTCCTGGATCTTCCAGAATCCAGCCTCAAAATACTCGTGGGCAAATATAATTCCGGACTTTTCTCCATATTATTTCGAGGAGAATATTTAGAATCCGCTAAAATTCGGTCACCTATATACAGAAAGAGAAAAAAATATTTATACGGGGAAATTCCTAAATTGGATGTAATTTGATTAATATGGTAAAACTTTTTATACAAAGTTCCACTCGTATGTGAGCTAAATCTCAGCCTATATGTACTCGATAGATTAAAGCTAATGTAGTATAACATACCCACGGTAGTTTAACAATGTTGAGGAGATAATATTTTGGCCAACTGTATAACAAACAGTTTAAATAAAATAAAAGAACCTATTTACATGTACGTTGCCGTTGTGTTAAAAATATTTTTTATTGTGGCTTACCTTGGATACGCTCGATAGAAGCAATATTTGAGAAATTTGAGGAGAATAGATTATGTAAATCAAACGCTAAATTTGTAAATAGCTCTACTTATTTTATTGAATAAAATGAAAGGAGTACCGTACTCTGCCTGGAATTCACAAGTAAAAGAGCACGGCAGAGAAAACCTTGATCACTATTCCAAAGAATCCAACCTGAACTTTAATAACAATAACACAAATACTGTCTTTATATCAAGTGTTTGAGGTTTAACACACTTAAAACATAAATAATTGAGGAAGTTTTGTTAGTTAGCAGGTCCCCACCTGCAGGTACTGAGGTCCCCCTGGATTAGGGAAACTACTCAGCTATAGTTGATATGTTAAATTACTATTTGGTTTTGACAGCTCACTTGTGTGCTAAGATATTCGCGCAGTCACGGTTGGACAATATTAGTACACTCAACAGTCAACAAGACCCTTTATTGCCATACTAAGCCGAAACTGAACCAAAAACATCGGCACGAATGGACAGTAAACGATTGTCTTTAGATTTAATTTTAAACTAGAAATTATTCACAGCATAAATAGAACCCATTAAATACAACAACACATGTTATATAATATTGTATAGTCAGATGAAATAAATCCGGGAAACCTTTAACACAGAACAACAGAAAAATAAAATATATATGCTTTAGTTAACACTATAAGTTAAATATACATATATCAGGAAACAAACAACAAAGTTATTTTAATTTACCTTAAAAAACATTCTTTGTCTCAATAACCAAAACTTACACTCCAAAATAGCATCAATGCGTCTCGAACGGTAGTCAAAAAGCTATTACCTAACACCTATCATCTCTGCTCATTGTCAGATTTACCTCTCCCTAGTTTGTGAACAAATATTTTAAAAATCAATAATGATTGAGTATACAGAATGTCTTAAAACTAATTTTTTAAATTTAAAGAAATATGTTTATTGAAGTGAAATTTCTTTACGCGCGTTAGGAGTAAAAATTGAAGGCCATGACACACGAGCTAGCGTCAGGAAAAGTGTTACGATGACAGTGTTGCCACAGCTACCCCATTGGGGGTAGATCTACCACTTTATAAATCAGTTTAACTCGCTCTGGGTAACAATATGTGCCATCCGCTGCTAAGACAATTACTATAATAAACTTGATAAAAAATGTCTATACCTATGTGGCGGATTCATCTCTCCAAAAAAATCCTTTATGGGTATTTCGCCACTGCACTGCAAGAAAATACTGCTTGTCAGAAGTTATGTTTACAGTTATACAAATTTGCCTAACAAAGAAAAAAATGCTTAACGTTTCGGAAAGTTTATTTCTTTCCGTCGTCGGAAGCAATAAAAATACAAAGAATAAAGAAAAAAAAACTATTTAAAATATTTAAATTCAACTATTCGAGAACACTTTACTTTTTTAAAACAGATACGTGTACAAGAAACCGTTGACTTTCTGTTAAAATCTGTTAATGTGTTAATTTTGTTGGAGAAGTAAAATTTCATGCATATTTTCATCGATAGGTTTATAGATTCTGAATAACGGTCTACATAGGTAAAGCATGTAGCTCATTTATATATATTTATTTCAAACCAATAATCAACGAGAATATTAGTATAATTTAATAAAATTACTGTAAATCACTATAAATAATGAATAATAAACAAAATAAAACAAAAACAAACCGCAGACTACATAGTAGTAGTAGTAGTATATTGGTTTAATGACCATAGCTGCCAGGGCTATCCGGCCGGATGACAGAATTATCAATTTACGGTTGAGCGATTGGGTCGATTGGAACCAAACTAGGCACGTGGATAGAGATACCCAAATGGAATACTCAGACGGACAGACATACAGACAGACAGATGGAAATAAGAAGAAGTTTCACTTCAAATATGCGCACATAACCGTCTCAGATACTGGCTTTTGTCAAAATCTTGAGGCTGTATGATGAGTTATATCACAAAAAAATAGTCAAGTGCGGGTCGGACTAGCGCACGAAGGGTTCCGTACCATTCATTATCTATACAACATTAGTCACTATATTATTATAAACTTTTTTTTCCAATTTAGCTGAAATTTTGAATGCGCGTATAAGTAATTTAAAAAAAATGAAGAAACACGTTACGAAAAATTGTATTAATCAATAATAAATATGTAAAAAGTTAAAATAAATATGTAAAAATATGTAAAAATTAAAAAAAGACGATTGAAAAAAATGTCGCCTTGACTAGGGTTCGAACCTGCCTTACTACGGGTCCAACGTCATAGCAGCGTATAGTCCTAACGCTTTAACCACGCGGCCACCGAGGACTTGAAAGATTCTATGTAAAATTCTTACTTAAAAGATAATGTGTAACGTTTTTAGTTCGTTGCATGTTTTTTTTATATATAATATATGATGTCTGGCCTATCATCACCGGATTCCCTCTCGTTCAGGCCGGATAGTTTATTTGACGCGTAATTTTTACGTTCCCTAGTCGCCAACCCTGTTATCGTTCGACACAACCCTGTTATTGCTCTGAGGAGGCGCTGTCAACATCGCTTCTGTCAACTGTCTCCGTGCTTAACCTCACTTTGTTTTGACGCTCTGTTGTATCCCAGCTTTTAGAAATGGTGATTATTTAAATCTTGCTGTATAATCTGAATCAGCTGCTATTTCAAAGCAACAGGGTAGAGTTACGGATGTCCCAACTTGTATTTGTATTTTGCTGGCACGTTGGCGTCCCTTTTCTTTTGTCCTCCAGAATGTCACATGGAAGAAAGGACAGGTTGTTTATTGTTTATTGAGCCCTCGGAAGTATTTCGAGGGTCCAAGGTACGGACTGTATCCAAGGTACGGACTGTGTCCAAGGTACGGACTGTGTCCAAGGTACGGACTGTGTCCAAGGTACGGGTAGTGTCTTATGTACGGACATTATCTTATGTACGGATGTCCTGTGGACGAGTGTCCCCAGTAAGAACGATTTTTTCTAACATATAAGTGCCACAGCGTGGATGTAGCTTGAGTCCCATGCTGCTTCGTTCCCAGCTGTAAGCTAGTTAGTTACGGCTGTACCAATTTATGGTGTCTCATTCTGGCCCCTTTGGTTATGTTGGATGGCTGAGTACAGAGATGCGAAACCACCTCACGCTGCTACTGTTTGAAGCAAGATTACATAAAGAACAGCTAAGTGTAGATTTACGTTCTAGTTTTTATGTTTTAGATTTTCTATATTTTCAGTCTTAAACAGTAACGTACATTTTAAATAATATCGTACAGACTATATTTAGTGGTTACATTATTAAGAACATTTATGTCGATTCAGTAGTTACAATGTGATTTAGATTTTAGGTTTCATTATATTACGCCTTGTAATAGTATTACTTTCTATAGATATTATTATTGCGCTATATTAACAGATGAATAACGAGACATAGATTCTAGAATCTACAGGTTGCAACATATCAGATTTAACACCGCATAAAATTTAACAATTTAAATAAAGTAATGCTACTTTTCTTATATTTTCTATAACGTTACACGCATTGTATTTTTTCATAGTCTTTTCATAGAACATATTTAATATTATTTACATACATAGTTTTACTCAACAAATAACCACTATAATAATTATTAAAATTGTACAATGCTATTTATCATCAGAATTCATCATGAATAAATATAGTCATTAGTTTTAAGTAATATACAACTGTGTTTTCTTTCTCTGTACATGCCTGGCGCCCAATATCTATTTTTTTGTTTATTGTTCTTAATTAGTTTTCTTTCCAGTGAAATACCTTATCCACGACTGCTCTCCGATGAAAAGCTGCCGTTCGCAGTGGTAGTTGTTTAAAAAACGCTACAAATGTTTAGTGAAAGTACTTTTTTATTTATATACATTTATTTAATTTTGTTTTTAGTATTTGTTCTTATAGCGACAACATAGATACATTATCTGTAAAAATATCAACTGTCTAGCTATAACCACAGATTAGGTAGCCTATAAGTATACAAATAAAAATCTTGTCCCTAATTCGTGGTACGAAAATTGTTTTTTATGACGATGTGCAAACGAGTCAAATTTCCTGTGCGCAAAAATAAACTCGCGTAAAACAACAATAAACAGCGTAATAGAGAGATATCGCTAAACCGAATAGCGTGCATGGACGTTAATAAGGCCAGGTGTTATTTCCTTTACGTGAGGTGGTATTAACTATTTTCATTTATTTTATAGTTATCGGATCGGAAAGAATCCTGATCGCGTCGCGTCCGCTATTTAAACTTAACCTAACTTTGAATTTAAAGCTTTGAAATTGTTTTGTTTACTAGGTATTTTAAAACTAAAGGGCTAAAGTGCTTATTTCCAGTGCTTTATTGTTCAACCAGTCTGCCAGGTGGGTTTAGGGCAACAAGCAACGAATTCTCTTAGAAGGGCTAAGTCGTCATCTGCTGTAAACCTAAGACTCTTTATAGGTTCTTTAGTATTGGAAGAGGTGGAATCCATATTTTGGGCCATATTTATTTAATTAAAACTAATCCCAGCTACTTAAATATCAAATTACCTAATAAAACTAAAGCAATAATTCAAAACAATTCAAACATAACCTAAAATAAAAGATCTCGCAGGCCGGCTCCGGTTGTCAAATACCCGCACATGCCCATTTAAGCA